TAATTATCTCATGTATAATTGAGGAAGTGTTGAAACACAGAAAGGCACTAATTATATGCATAAGACCGAACGAGTCATTCTAAATATTCTCCCAAATATTGGTTTTCGGTCAGAAAACATCCATATCCATCTTCAAGATATGTAAATGTGCAGTTTATATATGATAGTTGCCCCACCACAATGCACACAAAGATGGAGCCTCCAGAAGAGATTAGAAATATATGTTGAATACTGAATCTCTAATTTTTAAAATTATTGGTGTTGGATTAACTACTCAATGAACTGATCATATTAGTTTGACGGGTTATTTACTCTCAAAAGGTAGATTATTAACTGCTCGGTTGGTTAATCGTCATTTTGACGAGTTACTTATCCGAACATGAGAGGGAGAAGTTAAAACAGCTTATTCATAAATAAAATGGACAAGATCATTATCTCATCAGATCCTCCATGATATGAACCTGAAGTTCAAGAGATAATATTTAAGACTAGATGTTTACTTGACCGAATGTGTAAATATATAAAAGGTTGTTAGAATGCAGAATTTGATAATGTGCCCCTGAAGGACTATCTACCACTATTGTTTAGCTAAATGTCCATTTGATGAGTGGTAGAACTATCGATTCCAACGATAAAAATCCTCGTGAATGACAAAGTTTAAATCTATGGATAGAAAATACGAGTGATTAAAATTCATAAAAATATTTCAACTTGAATAGTTTCCCACTATGATGAATCAACTTCCAGAAGAAATATAAAAACACTTTGGAACTTTAATGATTGTTGAGATCTCATTATTAAAGAAAGATGGAATCGATCAGCAATAAATGTCGACATAAAATTTGCTTATGCTGCAGCAGTTAGTAAAATGAATGACAATGAGGATCATGAAATGAAAGTCTGTGTTGGATACGGACATTAAACTTATTGGTCGTAATACATGAAAAGACGCAATACACACCTATATGTGTTGTACATACATTTTCGAATTGCTTGAAGCAATAGAAGTTTTGAAAGGTAATACACCGGGTAAATGTTGTTGGGTGATTGTGCAAACGATTAATGAGCAACCAACTTATTGTAAAAAATTTTCCGAAGTTCGGATGTTAATAATTTAGAGATAAATTCTCTTGTGGTGGATGAAAATATTCATTCTTCCATTATTTGCTAAATCTGGCAACAAATGAAGAAATAAAATGTATCTAGTGAATATAGTGATCACTTGAAACAATACTTGATATTTACCATTTGAAAATGGCGTTTATATGAAAGCCTTGAAGGATTCAATAAGGGACATGGTTCCGATTCTCGAGAAATTAATATTAGTATCTTCATGTGTCTAGACAAATATTTAGGTACATATTTTTGAACATTTTGGTTATTACCGTTTATGCACTTGATTTTATATGTTATATCCGGATATGTTACATTTGTCTGTAAGGTGATTGTTTGTGTTTTATATGAGATAATGATATGAATTTTTCATAAATTATATGTGTATTCGCTATTTGGTTACCATTAAAATTTTAAAGTGTTTGAAAAGGCTAAATATTAATAAAACTCATTACAGAGTTTGAATAGCCTGAATATCGTTAAAACTCCTGAAGAGTTTATCACGATTATTAAGACTTCAAAAAGGAAGTTCAAAAGATGTTTAAGTTGAAAAGGTTATTACTTGTCTGAAGCAAGAATAATGAAAGACTTTAGGTAGAATCTCGGTCATAGTAGTTTGGCCTAAGTTTATATACATTTAACACCCGTTGAGTGCACTAGACTATGGTCTGATGTGCATAAATTTTTTTTTCTAGCCTTATAATAAAATGTAAACCGATTTGGTCCTGAAATACCATATTGTAATACTTATAAGTATTGTTTATTACCCAAGACATTAGAGGATTATATATATAAATACCTTCTTTGTATGCTTATTATAGATCTCTGTTGTTATAAATTACTCAAGATTACACCAGTATATAAAGATGATCGTCTGCAGAGAAATCGAAGTGATCCGTCCATTATTGAATTCAACAATGGTGAACCTGGTCAACATATGGACATGTGGCGAGAAGATTACAAGTGATGTACTCAACAGGGGGAGTAACACCGCACTATACTCTTTTTCCCTTGATCGAGGTTTTGTCCCAATGGGTTTTCCTGACAAGGTTTTTTTTTTAACGAGGCAGCGTCACATTCGGAAATGTACTCTTTTTCCTTCACTAGGGTTTTATCCCAAAAGATTTTTCCTGGTAAGGTTTTAACGAGGCATTGTTCCGCAACGATGGACATTCAAAGGGGGGGGTGTTATGAAAAATCTGATTTGATTGAATGCCCACATTAATATGTATTATTTTATTCACAATTAAGGAAATATGATTCTGTAATATTTAGCATTAATAATAGGTGATTTATTTCACATAGTTTGAACCCCTACTTCTTGTATAAATAGGGAGCTCATTTATGCTTCAAAACAAATCTGAATACAAGTCTCTTATCTCTCTCTACTCTCTTGTCTCTTCTCTTTTGTTCTTATGCGTTGTTTATCATTTATTGTATATTAAAACAAAAATTTTAGTTAATTTCTTACATACTCAAGTTTTCTTTTTCATTTTCTTCTTTTGCAGTGTGTGCACACTCCGAATCATAGACATTCAAAGAGTAGACAGTTGGCCAAAGGATTCAAAGTTTCAAACTCCGAACTAAAATGCTTTCTTCTCTCAAAACTTCGGAATCAACCTTATTTCTCTCAAGCAAAAGAGCGATGGCGCTGAATTTCTTCATCCGAAGGAGTGTTTATCCAAAACAAGCCCGAAGGAGTTCTGTGGCTGCCTTACTAGCCATCCAAAAACAAAACCTAATTGTAATGGTTCGGTCAAAAGCTACTCAAAGTCATCAACTGGTTCTGGGCCAAATTCGTTGGGAATAATACCAGGCCCAACAAGATTTCCAAAGTATATTCATTTCAACCAAAAGAACAAACTCATTGTTACTGATTCTGTGAATGTGATCACTGATCACTATCAAGCCATAGGTTGTAAAGCTCTTTAATGGATCTCTCAATTTTGGAAACCCGGGTATGTCTATGGAGTCGAGCAGAGAGTAATACTACGAAAACCACTTTGCGAATCTCGTGCCAATATGAACCGTATTGGGAGAACCGGAACATGGCAATTTTTAGTCCAATTGCTCATTTTGTATGCCATTGGGTCGGGTTAAGGTTACCAAAATGTGTATAGCTCTAACTACAGTTCCTTGTCACTGACAAAAACTCAAAAAGGGCGGATACTTCCTTAGACTGAAACACCAAAGCAGGCCCATATTTGTCGGCCGAAACACCAAAGAGTCTACATAATTGTTTACAGGGGTGGAACTATGGGTGTAAACGAGCCGAGTCGAGCCCGAATTTACCCATACTCGAGCTTGGCTCGAGTAATTTTTAACCTAATTCGAGTTCGGTTCGAGCTCGAACGAGCTTAATTTTTTTGAGCTCGAGCTCGACTCGGTCTCTTAACAAGAAGTTCGAACTCGACTCGTAACTCGAAATAAAATATTATTTTTTATTTTATATATAATATTAGAAATTTATATATATTATATATATATATATATTATTTTTTTAAAAAAAAAATGCTGGCTCGTTTAGCTCGACGAGCCAACGAGCGAGTATTGTTTAAACTCGAGCTCGGCTCGTATGGTTAAGAAACAAACTCGAACTCTGCTCGAGTTCGGTCAACCTCGAACTCAAGCCGAGCTTGACCGAGCCAACTCGCGAGCAACTCGCGAGCGGCTCAACTCGTTTATAACCTTAGGCGGAACCGGGACTAAAACTCTGGAGGTGCTTCACTGTAAATAGATTTTTTTTTTTTGCACGAATTAAATTTAATAATGCATGCATTTTCATTAAAATTTTATTTCCAAAAAAGCTTTTATATAGTACTCCCCCTCCCTAATTATAAAGTATATATTAAACTAGATTTAATGTTAATTTGTTCCTTATAATTAAGAACTGAAGGAATAATACTTGCCCGTAGGCGACAACAATAATTATATTCACTAAAATATTTTTCAACATTGATTATACAGTAGGAAAAAGGAGTATTTTTTCCAATAAGAATAGAAAGCTGCTGATCTTAAATTATCTTGATTTTTTAGACAAAAAAAATAAATAAATTGCACCACTACTATTTATTTGTATTCTAGGAAAAAAATAATGCCTAATATCTATTTACTAGGGCAGAAAAAAAAAAAAAGGAAGTAAGAAGGCCGAACTAGGAAAGTATACAGATCTAATCATGATATCGTTGAGTCAAAAAAAAAAAAAAATCATGTCTCACCAAGTTGGGCCTATAACAAAAAAATAGGTGATTTCCCAAGATAGCCCACCACCTCTAAACTAAATAGGTAACATGTTTAAAGGGTTAAATTGGTAATTTTCAGATTGTAATTGGGAATCGTCTTCTTCCTCATATCCCCTGGCCCCTGATATTCAGACTTCTTCTCCGGCGAATAAGCTACCAATTCTTGTATAGTTTAACCCCTAAATTTATTCATATTATTAGTTGTAATTTCAAAATGACTTTTCAAGAAGGCTTTTCTAACTTTTTTGGGAGGGCTCACTGATGGGGCAATGTTATCCCGTTGTCTTATTGGGCCTCAGCAACTATAACCTAAGGGCCACAAAAGGCCCATCCAAGAGCCATGAGCACCCATGTGCTGAGAGAATATTCCATATTCCGTTTTTGGTGTATAAAAAGGAGACACCTCAAAGCATTTCAAGGAAGTTCTTTCTCTATGTAGTTTTAGTACTTTAATACTTTCCTTCTCTCTCTAAGAGTTCTGACTTAAGCACCGGAATGCTAACCCTTTAGATGTTGTCCCGTGGGCCAACCAAGGACTGCACCATCTTTTGCCGCCGACTGTGGGGACCGACGTTATAGCACACAGAGCGCATCCCTATTCCTCGTGTTTCACCTCTTCTTTCTGATTGGTGTGCATAGGTTTTAATGGTATCCACACGGCAGAAGCCTGAGGAACCTGGGGGCAGTCGCCCCCCATACCTTGTGTCCACTAGGCCAACGGCCGCTACAAAGCAAGATGCTAGGCGTTGCCGCACTGGCAAGCAAATAGCGGATGCTTACAAAGGATCCAATTTGCAGAAGGAACTTGAAACGTCGCAAGAGAGCTCCCATCAGTCCACGGGTCGCTGGGGTAATCCCCCTGACCTTCCCCTCAACGACCAGTGGCGGGAGTTCGCAAGGGCGCACCCAGTGGTGCTGGGGTAGTTCAAGGCATTCCTGGAGTCGCAACGCGAAGAGCCGCGGGGTAGCGAGGAAGATGACCCAGGACGCCATAACAGTACCTGCGCGCAGGTAGGGCTGCAACGGATCCAGGTGATCGCCATCCGACCCGCGTCCCCATCCACGATCGCCTTGGGCCTCGTCCAGCTGTAACTGATAGATTGAGACCTCGAGTAACGATCGGCGATCGTCTGGGAGCTCGGGTGCCGGAGGTTCCCAGCCTTGTCCTGTCTGACCCACGCTTAGTGGTCATTCTTGCTGATTCCCTAAATTCGAGGCCTCTCTGTTTTCGCATTATGGCTGCCAAGAGGCCAGAAGGTTTCAAGATGCCAAGCGATATCAAGAAGTACGCTGGCGATTCATGCCCAGTTTCCTTCCTAACCGACTACACTAGCACAATGCGACTGCACAATGCTAATCGCGATTACAAGGCCAAGGCCCTATCAACTGTTCTCACTGGTACGATTAAGTCCTGGTTTCACTCGCTACCCCCAGACAACATTCCTTCCTACACGAACTTCAGCGAAAAACTCCACACCTGTTTTTTCTAGTTCAAAACAGTTGTGAAGACCATGAATGATCTCGGGGTAATGAGACAGGGACGCCATGAATCTCCAACGGAGTTTTACGCCCGTTACACCAAGGAAGTCTTGCTCGTAGACCAGGTGGATGACCTCGTCCTGCGCCAGACCTTTATAAACAGATTGAAACAGTTTGACCCGACGGCGCAGTTTAAAAGGGATCTGGGCAAGGACTTTTCCCCCACCAGCGAAGCTCTATGGCGCTTGGTCGAGAAAGAGGTAAGAGCAGAAGAATCCATGCGTCGCGCAAAAGAACTGTTTGGTGGCAGGGATGCATCAACTCCATTTCAGGGTCGAGATCCTTGTAGGCAACGCCGATCGTGATCGCACATCTCACTTGGACTGGTACCTGTCCCTTACCAAGCCACATCGCGAAGTGCTCCAAGTGCAAAATAGAGAGATCCAAAGCCGACCGACAAAAATGCTTCCGCCGATGGGTGGTGCAATTATCACTAACGAGGCGCATATAACACTGAATACTGCCGTGAGTTGAAACGTGAGATGGCAAAAAAGCAAAAGAAAGGAAAACCCTGCCAGTACGTGCAGGGCGATCGCCGACAACGCTCCCCGAATCGCAAGGACACGAGAGGCAGGCGATGGAGCGGTCGCGGCAGCGGGAAGGGCGATGGTAACAATCGAGAAGACCATGACAAGGCGAAAAAGACGCCACCACGCAACACGCCATTGCCCGCAAAGACCATAATCCACGATATCCCGCTAAATGCCATATTCTGTATGCCGCTGGAGGTCCAAAGCATCACTTCTGCAAAGGTAGCAGCACGGCCACCCCCGCCGGGAGAATCCGACCACAATCTCTTTAAACCTTCAGAGACCATCACTTTCTCAGCTGATTACGCAGTCACCGGTCCTCCTTCGAGCGTGGACGCATTAGTAATCAGTGCGATCATCCACAAAAAAGAGGTGCGCCGAGTTTATGTCGATCCTGGAAGTGGCGTGAATGTCATATATCAAGACTGTTTTCAAAAACTGGGGATCGACAAGTCACAACTGCGACCCTGTGCTATGCCATTGATGGGTTTCTCCAACCACATCATCATCCCCACGGGGATGATTACTCTCAGCGTCACAGTTGGTGAATATCCCACTTGCAAGACAGAGCTTTGCGATTTCGCCGTGGTTGACGTGGTCGCACCATTCAACATCCTGCTGGGCAGGCCCTGGATGAACCAGGTAAAAGTCATATTCTCATCCTATCACTTGGTCATGAAATTTCCGACCGACTATGGCATCGCCGAAGTAAGGGGTGACAGGCAGTTGGCTCACCAATGCATGTCGGTCGCGGCCAGAAAGGGGAAACAAGCACTCACGAGCGCGAATGTAAACCAAGTGCTGCTGTCTAGCACCGCGAATGAGACCGCGACCCCTTACCTTGAAGTTATACCAACTGGCCAAGACATGGCAATCCCGGATCTATCAGAAACGATGGCCCGGACGACAAAACTGCTGGCGACACTGAGGAGATTTCTCTAAACCCGTTCATGACTGATAGGGTGATCCTGGTCGGGACGGACGGCCAAGCATTAAGGACGCCGTGGTAGATCTCTTGAAGCGGTTCCAGGATGTCTTTGCGTGGGTCACAACTGACATGACCGAGATTCCCCCTCAGTATGGAACACACAAGCTTAACGTATTTTCAGATTTGACCCCCAAGCGCCAGCGACGTCAGACAGAGGAACACAGCGTAGCTATAACAGCAGAGGTTGCAAAACTCCTGGCTGCCATCAGAGAAGTCCTCTACCCATTGTGGCTAGCCAACCCGGTGATGGTCCAAAAAATCGATTGGACGTGGCGGATGTGCATTGACTACAAGGACTTGAACAAGCACTGTCCAAAGGACTGCTATCCGCTTCCCATAATTGATCAAAAGCTGGACGCCATATCTGGATTCAAGGTCATGTGCTTTTTAGACGCATACAAGGGGTATCACCAAATCTTGATGGATGACAGCGACACTGAGAAGACAGCTTTCATAACTAACATCGGCATCTACTGCTATGTCACGATGCCCTTTGGTCTCAAAAATGCGCGTGCGACTTACCAGCAAATGGTCAACAAAATCTTTGACCAGCAAATTGGTCGCAACATGGAGGTATATGTCAATGGTATGGTCGTTAAAAGTCGCAGTCTCAAATCCATGTTAGATGATCTGGAGGAGACGTTCAACCCACTTAGGCAAGTCAACATGAAACTCAACCCAAAGAAATGCGCATTCGGGGTCGCATCAGGCAAGTTCTTGGGATTCCAGGTATCTCGTGGGGGAATCAACGTGGACCCAACCAAGGTAACCGTCATCATGGATCTTCAAGAACCAACATCGATAAGAGAGGTGCAAAAGCTAGCGGGCTCCTGGCCGCGATCAGTCGTTTCCTTTCACGATCCGATGAACGATGTCTACCCTTCTTCGCTGCTCTGAAAAAGGCTGATAAGTGCACATGGGGGGAAGACTACCGTAAGGCATTCACAGACCTAAAGGAACATCTGTCACAACTCCCTACTCTGGCCACACCTAAGTGCGGAGAGCCCCTTGCCATCTACCTATCCACAGGGGAATTCACCATTAGCGCGGTCCTGGTTCAAGAGAGTGGTGCCCGTCAAACACCAGTGTACTTCATCAGTAGGGTACTACAACGGCAAGAGAATCGCTACACCAGCATCGAGAAGCTGGTATTGTGCCTTGTCATGGCAGCACGGAAGTTGCGACCGCATTTCTAGGCCCACGCAATCAGAGTAATGACGGACCAACCTATCCAACAGGTACTGCGAGATCCTGAAACCTCAGGACGCATGATAAAATGGGCGATCGAGTTAGGAGAGCACGAGATCGAGTTTGTACCCCGTTGCGCTATCAAAGGTCAGGCTCTTGTGGATTTTCTCGCTGAAATGTCGACAAAAACATCACCCACGCTCAAACCGCCCCAGCCGCAAGTTCCCATTGCACCAGCAGATACCTGGACTTTGTTCGTCGACGGATCCTCCACGGACAGCAGCGCGGATACGGGCCTCATTTTGGTCGACCCAAAGGGGGTGGTGGGGGGAGCAAACCTACGCTTTGCATTTCGAATTCCCTACCACAAACAACACTGCAGAGTATGAGGCTTTGATAGTCGGAATCCAGATCACGCAACGTCTGGGAGCTGAGAGGGTTAAGGCATTTAGCGACTCCAGCGTGATGGTAAATCAAATACGTGGCGGTTACACAAACAGGGGGCCGCAACTGACCAAATACCTTGCACATGTGAAGCAACTCACTCAGGCCTTCCAGGACTGTACCATCTCCTATGTGTGTCACGCTCTGAATAAAAGGGCGGATGCGCTGAGTAAGCTAGCATCGTCCGCGTTCACACATTTGACCCAAAAGGTCCTGGTGGAAGTACTCCCGCACCCCATCATAGAAGTAGATATGGTTAATTTGGTTGATGCCACACCAGCAATAGATTCGTGGATACGCTGATCGCAAGGTACCTGCGGATGGGACTTTACCCGGAGATAAAATCCAAGCCCGACACATTCGGCGCCAAGCGCCGCGGTTCCTACTAAAGGATAGCATCCTCTACAAGCAAGGATACCTACAACCTTGGCTGTGAGTGCATTGGTCCGGAAGAAGTGAGGCTACTGATCCAAAGTGTCCATGAGGGGGCTTGCGGGGCTCACATCGGGTCACGAAACCTGGCAAAGAAGCTCATGCGCACTGGGTACTACTGGCCCACTCTCGCACACGATTGCCACAACTATGTACTCAAATACCACAGTTGTCAACATTTCGCTCCCATTGTGCGAGTGCCGCAACACAATTTGGTATCCATCTTCAGTACCTGGCCTTTTCATAAATGGGGCACCGATATAGTGGGCCCATTTGAGAAAGGGACTGGGCAGGCGCGCTGGCTCCTGGTACCAGTTGACTATTTCACCAAGTGGGTGGAAGCCGAACCTATAGCATCGCAGACTGTAAGATAAGCCCGCTTAATTACAAGTATTGTGCGACTGTACTTTCTTGTCCATTTACTTGTGCTTATTACAACAATTTAGACAATGCGGTTGGAACACGTGACCGTCGTGACCCCCTAGTGCATCTATGGGCTGCCGGTCAGCCAAACCGTGGCATTACGCCGAGCTCCGTCGCCTGGATGTGGGCGATGTGAGTACAAAACTGTGGATTGCAAAATTAAGTCATCCCGTCTAACCTAACCCAGACATGGGTGGTCGGTCAACCAAACCGCGGCATCGCGCCATGCTCCGTCGCCTAGTGTGGGCGACGTGAGTACAAAACCGAGGATCGCAAAATTAAGTCACCCCATCCGACCTAAACCAGACATGGGTGGATGGTCCGCCAAACCACGGTATCGCGCCATGCTCCGTTGCCTGGATGCAGACGACGTGAGTACAAAACTAGGGATCGCAAAATTAAGTCACCCTGTCCAACCTAACCCAGACATGGGTGGCCGGTCAGTCAAACCACAGCATCGCACCGCGCTCCGTCGCCTAGGTACGAGCGACGCGAGTACAAAATCGGGGATCGCAAAATTAAGTCACCCCGTCCGACCTAACCCAGACATGGGTGGTCGGTCAGTTAAACCACGGCATTGCGCCATGCTCCGTCGCCCAGATGTGGGCGGTGCGAGTACAAAACCGCGGATCGCCAAACCAGGCATCGCATCCAGCCTAGCCCAAACGCGAGTAGCCAGATAGCAAAGCAGCAGCGTCGCGCCGCGTCCAAGTATTTGAGCACGAACAACAAAGTTTTCCCAACTCGGACGCAACATTCTAAAAATGCTCCAAATGGAAACAGAATATAAATCAATAACAAGGACTAAAGCAACATCAAGCTCACTTTCCATTCAGACGAAACGAGGAGAACAAGGCCTCAGACCTTCATACAAATGTTATCTACTCTATCTTATTAAAAAATGAACCTTGGAGTACACCTACACGTCCCGTTGAGGCACTTCAGGAATGGGTCCGCGAACAATGGCATCCTCTAAGGGACCCGAAAAAGAGGGAGGATGGTCAATATTCTCAAATTATGGGAAATGCAGCAGTCTCGTATCCACCACACCCCCATCTTCCACAATGCGATCTGCTAGTACCTAAAGTGATCCCCTCAAACGGTGTGCAAACATCCGATGGTGGGCAAGGATCTATGAATCCCTTTGCCAGCGGACCGACAACATATACCTTCCTCAAACCATCCAAGACGGCTTCCAGGTACGATCGCGGAAGTGTGGCTTCAGCACCAGTTGGAATGAACTATCGTTTCGATCGTGGCACCAACTTCTTTAGCCCACGAACAATTTCCTCCAACTCTTCAATGCCCTCATCTTGCTGGTCCCATATCTCAATAAAGTCGCGAATGTGTTTTTCCCACAAATGCTCGTTTCTCCAGTAGTCAGACTGGCAACACTTAAGCACCAACTGCAGAGCTTAAAACTCAACCACATACATTGATCGCACTAGCTCCCTTAGCTATTTTTCCTTTCATTCTCTATCCTGATCCCCGACACATGGCGGATCGAGGAGGCAAACAATACTGTGATAAAACAGAGACCCCTCTGTATCAACGCTGGGGTCGAGAATTTTCATGGTTACCATGCCGTCGCCAACCACGCTAGCAATACCTGAGCCCTCCCCCCTAGCGGTCCCCTCAACAACGGGTGATGCACCAACACCCTCCACACCACCCGCCATAATAGGAGGATCAACGGGCGCCACTCCAAAAATGAATGGGTCATCATTCTCCTCCAACTCAGGATGATGAGAATCATATAGTCTTCCATGGTGATTCTCCTAGTGAGGGGAATGAGCTAGTCCTTCATTCTAGTTTTGGAATGCCAAGTTTACTTTGCAGGCCAATCAAGGAAGAAAGGATGGATCTTGACTACCTATGTGATAGGGAGTTGGTTCAAGAGAGCTATGATCAAGATGATGAGAATGTCATTAACTTTGGGGTGCAAACCAAAGGAGATGATGACCTCATGGAAATAAGTGCTCAAGAGTATCAAGAGAGTTTGACTCTAGGTGCTCCATGAAGATCATTGATCAAGCTAGAGAGAAAAATCATTTAGGTTCTTGAATGGACGGCCTAATTGATCAAAGTGTTCAAGATTGAGTCCATTGCTACACAATTAGATAGGTTGCAAACTATCTCAGTGGTTCAAGTATTTTTCCAATCTTTTGGAGTCAATAAAGAGATTTCTACAAGTTTTGGAGTAAATTGGAGTTTTCTACAACTTAAGGGATGCAAGACCAATATTCCACTTTTGGAAGGGCGTTAAGATATTTTACTTCAATAATTATGAGCTGATTTTCGAGATTAGAGTTTGTCTAAGTCTAGGAGTTAATTTTCAAAATTTTATCTAGTTAGATAAGCCATATGGGCTGAATGAAGCTAGAGTGTTTTGAATAGGAGTCTTAGATTCCTTCTAAGTATTATCCTATTTGAGGATGAGTCATTTAGATAAGGTTTCCTAGATTTTAGATAGAGTCAAAGAGATCAATACTCTTCTACTTCTACTCCTGCGTGAGATAAGATTAGAGAGTCCTAGTTGATCTTCTTTTCTTGGTGCTGGCCGAAAATCTTAGCCTAGAAATAGGGGGGATGGCCGAAAATCAAAAGCACCCTTGAGTGGTCATTTTTGTTGTCTCTTTTGAGAGTTTTTCCTGTGAGGAATTTTTGCTAAATGGAGTGTCCACTTTTCGTGTCAAGTATGATTTAACCAAGAGGGTTTTCATCTTCTCTTGGATCTTTTGATCTTGCAGAAACCGTTCTTTTTCAAGTATGCTTCTTGATAGAATTGTTTTAAAACCAAACTTCTTATTTTCATACTACTTCTAGTAGTTCGATTGATGAGCCTTTCTTTTGGCTTGGTGTTTGAATTCATGATGTGTGTGTTCATGAGTTCTATTGTGGGGTTTGTCCTACTTTTGTTGGATGAGTTGTGCTTTGGCATAAGCATTTTGAGATAGTGTATGTGTTGCATATCTTTGTTGGTTATGGAGATTACTAATCAATAGTATTCATTCATAGTTGAGCATTGTTTGCTCCTACCTTTCTTGAGTCTCTTGAATGATGACTGATCGAGTATATTGAATGGTGTCCTTACTATTCTTAGTGTGGGTTGTTGTTTAATTCGAATCTTTCATGGATAATGTGTTCTTTGCTTGGTTTGAGTTAAGAGGTAGAAATCCTTAGATATACAATCGTCTTACTGTGAATTTTCCGCTCTCTTTTGAGTTTCACGGGATAGACAAATTATCTTCGTATTTTCTTGTTTGATGGTTGCATTAACGAAATTTGCTTCATCTATGAGATTGCTATCAGTTTCTGGTATCAGAGCTTGGACTATCTTAGTGGTGGTATTAATTGATATTATCATATCAGTTTCTATTATCAGTTTGATTTTCGAGAGATTTCTTTTTGATTGAGGACTTCATAGTTCTTGGTTTTGAGAATATCTTGAGTTACCACGGAATCCGTTACTTGGTGTGGTAATCGAGCTTTGTGCTACTAACGAGTAGTACTATCTTTATTTGTTTCAAGGTTCCTTCTTGTTGCAGAATGGGTTTTGAAAAAATAAATTAAATTCTTGTGAAAACTACGTTTTCAAAAATTGATCTTGTCTTTTGTGTGGTTGTGCGAGAATTCTTACACATTTGTTTGATCTTGTGGTGTTATTTTGGGGTCTATGCGAGAGCTTGATGATGGTACATTGGTATCTAGTCAAAGTGGGCGCTACATCTTGAAATTTATCCTTGATTTTCAAATAGAGAACTGTTTCTCCTATGAGCAAGTTAGTGGATCTTATGTATTGAATCTTTAAAGAGAGAATTGATGCCAAAGAAGAGCTTCTTGCTCGAGATAGCCTTTTCTTTCTAAAAAGATGTCTTTACATGAGGAGGGTTTAAGAGTTTATCTTGTGGTAAATATCTTGGATCTATTCTTTGAAAGGTGAAGCTTAGTGATTTTGTCCTTTCTACATAAAGTATAAATGAAAAAGCCTTCCTTCTTGTTGGATCTCATTTGAATCTAATGAGTAAAATGGAATTTATGGATTTTCAATCAATGAGAATTTCATAGAGTTCCGATCTTGTTGTTTATTTTACTTTGATTAAACCTTAGTGTCAAAAGATTTTTCAAAAAAAGGTAACAAATTTCGAGTCTTTTGTTTTCTCGAGTCTTATACTTTGAGAATGAGTTGAATTAGTGGATCTTCCTATCAATGGACTTTCCTTGATTCTTAATTCGAGTTTCAAAACTTTCTTTATCATTTGATGAGAAATGAATTTTAGTGATATCAATTTTGTTATCAAATATTTAAAGGTCTTTGAAGTTGAATTGTGCCAACTTTAAGGGTTGAAGTCTTTGACTTGTGTTTAAAACCTTAATTTTAGAGAGCTAAATCGAGAATTGAGTGAAGTTTTACTAAAGATTTTCTTATTTATGACAAGAAATCTTATAGGCTTTGAGATATGTTCTTGAAGTTTACATATTTGGTCTTTGGAAAATTTGATTTTCAAATGGTCACTTATGAAGATGGCATTGTTGAGTCATTGAGTTTTAAGAATGGTTTGTGTTAAATTGAGTATTATGAAGCAAACGTCATAGTTGAATGAGGAACTTTAATTTTCAACTTCATTATACTTATGGTATTCTTGTTACTTTATTTGCCATAGATTGTTTTGGTAAAAAGTGATTTTTGTTAAATTCCATATATAATTTGGAAAGGAGATTTTAGAAAGTATTCTAAAAGTTGTTGTCCATTTTTGGAAAGTGGTAATTTTCAAGTTTCCTTTTTAAAGTGAGTCAAAAGTAATTTTTCAAATTTTAACTATGTATTAAAAGGTTAATAGCCGAATTTTTGCTGACTTATTGCATGTGTGTGCGTGTGATTTATGTGGAATTCTCAGCCTAGTTGGTTTTGAATTTTAGAGTCATAGTATAGCCGAAATTGTGAAGCTAAGAATTAGGGTTTCCTAGTCCTAGTTGAACTTGAATTTTGGTTGTCTATTTGTATTACACTTGGAGACCTATTCGGTCTTGTATTAGAGTGTTCATATGGCCGAAAATTTTATCCCTAAAATTAAGGTCATTGAGTTCAAATTGTGTTATGATTTGAGTCTTATTCGGTTTTGGATTTTTGAGTTCACATTGGCCGAAAATTTGCAGCCATTATTTCCTAATTGTAATACATTTATTGTTTGTTTTATTTGAGTCCTACTTGGATTTAAATACTAATTTTTGCATGTGTTAAATTATAATTTCAATGATATTATAATTAGAGTTTTAAAGTGAGTCTATTTTCGAAAACTATTAAGATAAGGAAGTCTTATCCTAATCTGAAAATTTTTGAGTCTTCTAATACAATTGTGCATGTGTGTGGCCGTGTATTCGAGTCCTAATAGTAGTAGGGGGGGTCGAAATTTTTATCTCTAATTAGTAGGGATGAATTTCATAAGTTGTGTCCAAAAAAGATTATGTTTACCTAAGTTTTAGGACTCTATCCTTTTCTATATATATGTGGACGATTTTTCTTCTTCTCTATTCCATCTTTTCAATCAGATTTCATCCATTAAAGGGGGGAATATTTTTGAGAAAATTTAGGTCCTATCTTGTAGGAGTTTTGACAAGCCGTCTTTACACTAGTCAAATATTAATTACCTACTTAATACAATTACTAGTAGTAAAGCAGAAAGCAGGGTCGATCCCACAGAGAAGGTTACCAAGTACAGGTTAAAATTATTTCTTATTATTATTTAGATTAATAATTTATCAATTTAAACTAATCTAAACCTAAAACTATCAATTACAATTATTTAAAGATATAAATAAGTAAAAGAAAAACCTAAGGGCCAAGGATTCACCAACCGACTATTCAGTTTAATTTAATCTATAGATATGTGACTTTGGACTTTCATTAATCTCATAACGATTCATCTATTTAAGAACTATTCACTATCGTGATATAATTCTCTTACTCAAACTAACCCTATGACTACTGTCGTGACTATAGGATTTAATTAGACTACATTAAGAATCCTAGAATCTATAACTGCAAAGACTGTGTTCCTACTTTCGTGGCCCACTATCTAAGTTTAATATTCCCACGAACTAGTGCTAACCTTCAACCGTCGTTCCTTCAGTTAAACACCTTTAAAGCATGCAAGTGGTGATCAAATACTCACATGGAATAAAAACAAGAATATTAAATATCAACAAATGAAAAAGTCACAATCATGAATTAAATTAAATTAAATAGTACGACGGCTACATCCAAAACCCTAGATTAAACAATTTAGCTACACATCATCTCAAAAATAAATAAAATAATGAAACCCGAGAGAAGTAGGCCAAAAATTGAGTCCGGAAATTGATCCAATGCTGCTCCTCTTGGTGATGATGGTGCCGGTCGCGTGGGTTAATTATGGTGGAGGTGTGGGAGTTTTGTGCTTTGGTGGTGCGCTGGATGATGGAGGGTTGATGATGATGATTAATGTGATGGGGTGAGGTGATGATGCGTGGAGGAGTTGGGGGGGCTGCGGCGGTGATGATGATGATTTGGCTGGGGTTTGGATTTTGGTGAAGGGTTTTGTGGCGTAGGGTTGGAGAAGAGGAGATGAAGTGTGGGGTTTAGTCTCTGTCTCCAAAAATAAAACCCTAATCCTCTTTTTATAGGCTTTCCTCAAACCCTATTTCTTTAAGAATAAGAAAGTTATTTTTTTTCAAGTCAATTTAAATTAAAACTCCTCCAACTCTTCAAGTGCTTCAATTTCTTCCTTGTCAATTTATCAATTCTTCAATTCTCCCTTTGAGTTGCTTTTATCTTCATTTTAGCTCAAAATCTCAACAATTCTTCCATTTGAGTACAAAACCTACAAATAAAGATAAAATCATGTAAATAGCATATTTGTACTCAAAATATATTGCAAAAATCACAAATTAGGGATATAAGTATATCAAGTTTTCTTGCACAAAAAGACTTGCATTGCCTATAAATAGGGGTGCTGTTTTTCAAAAATTCTTACACCACTCTACTCCATTCTTCTTCTTCTTCTTCTTGCCGAGATCAAAAGGGTGAAAAACAAGAGAAGCACTCTTCTCTTTATTCTGAATTTTTGAGAGTTAGTGTTCTTAAAAGCACAAGAGAGTTTTTGTTTTTGGGGAGAGCATTATTCGAACCTTCCTTTGGTTCTTTGGGGGAGGGGTTGGACCGAACCTACAGTGATTCTAGGGTTCAAGGAGTTTATGTGTAGTCACAAAGGCACATTACTTCTTTTGTTGGTGGTTTCTCAGAGTTGTTGAGCAAAGATGTCATCCGGAGTTACTGGTTGTACTCAAGTTGCTTCAAAGAGTGTAGAGGGTCGCATGGAGGCTCAAGTACAGCTCATGAAGAGTCAAATTAACTACTTGCATGATGCTTTGGCCGAGGTGAAAGAGGCAAACCGAGACTTGTCCCAATTGCTTTCAAATCAACAAGATAAAGCTATGGTAAGTTTTGAGAAAATTGCTGAAAATTTAAGAGTCTTCTGTGATCGTTTTGAAGTAAAACAAGTACCCTCGTATGCTGGAATGTTGCAAGTGTCATTGCCTTTGTTTTATGGTTGTCATAGAGAATATGATACTTGGGAAAAGAGCATAGAGAATTTGTTTGTGTTGCTTAACATAGAAAAAGAGAGTGAGAAAATAGCCTTAGCTATAGGTTGTTTTCGTTCTAGTGCTTTAAATTGGTGAAAGCTAGTTTCAAATATCTATTCACATCATTGGTATCACAATTTGGATGATTGGCATGATTTGAGGAATCCTTTGTGAGAAAGATATGCTGGTACTAACACCTTTGATGAAGCAAAAGTGAAGTTGCTCAATTGTAAGCAGAATGGTAGATCCATTCAATCTTACTTTGAGGAGTTAGAAGGCTTGTTTCTTTGTTCGGGTGTGGATGAGAATGACTACATGTTGACAAATCGTTTCCACTATGGCTTGGACAAGGGGTTCAAACAACACCCAAAGATAAGGAGGCAATCAAGGCTCTATGAGGCATATTACGCTGCCTTAGAAGTGGAGAGAGAGCATGATACTTCTTGTGGTTGGAATGGTCCAATTGAGGATCAAGGGTTGGTGTTTGGCGCTGAAGATGGTGATCAACGGACATGTATCTTCCGTACTAAGTGTTCGGTTGGGTGGTCCAATGAAGTTGATTTGGTAATCGACGGTGGGTCGAGTACTGATTGTATAAGTGAGGAATTTTGCATAGCAAATGGAATCAAGATGGATCTGCATACTATACCATACAAGCTTCAATGGTTGAGTGAAGAGATGGTTGTGGATATCACTAAGAAGGTCATGGTATCTTTTCAAGTTGGTGAGTATAGGGATGAAATTTACTTTGATGTAATTCCTATGTCTCTTTGTGATATTTTGCAAGGTAGGCCTTGGCAATCGGTTGTAGATGTTGTGCACCATTGCTCGAAGAATATCTTTGTCTTTACTAAAGAGGACATGAAGTATATTCTTAAGCCTTTGGCTTATGAAGTAGCTGAATCTGTGCGAGAGAAAAGACGTAAGAAAACCTATACACAAGGGAGAGAAAAAGTCGAGAGAGTGACGCAAGAAAGTAAAAAGGGTCACGCTGAGGTAAGACTTGAGGCGAGAGAAAACCATGAAAATAGCGTGGAAACAGAAAAAAAATGCATGCATTGAGAGAAAATCATAGTGTGGTGAGGGTGAGGATTTTACTAACCCTTATATCTCGTTTGTTCCTTGTGCATGTTTAGAGGTTGATGATTCGAGGACGAATCCTCTTAAAGAAGGAGGGGATGATGAGAATCATATAGCCTTCCATGGTGATTCTCCTAGTGAGTGTAATGAGCTAGTCCTTCATTCTAGTTTTGGAATGCCAAGTTTACTTTGCAGGCCAATCAAGGAAGAAAGGATGGATCTTAACTACCTATGTGATAGGGAGTTGGTTCAAGAGAGCTATGATCAAGATGATGAGAATGTCATTAACTTTGGGGTACAAACCAAAGGAGATGATGACCTCATGGAAATAAGTGCTCAAGAGTATCAAGGGAGTTTGACTCTAGGTGATCCATGAAGATCATTGATCAAGTTAGAGAGAAGAATCATTTAGGTTCTTGAATGGACGGCCCATTTGATCAAAGTGCTCAAGATTGAGTCCATTGCTACACAATTGGATAGGTTGCAAACTATCTCAGTTGTTTCAAGTATTTTTCCAATCTTTTGGAGTCAATAAAGAGATTTCTACAAGTTTTAGAGTAAATTGGAGTTTTCTACAACTTAAGGGGCGCAAGACCAATACTCCACTTTTGGAAGGGGCTTCAAGACATTTACTTTAATAATTTGGAGCTGATTTTCGAGATTAGAGTTTGTCTAAGTCTAGGAGTTAATTTTCGAAATTTTATCTAGTTAGATAAGCCATGTGGGCTGAATTAAGCTAGAGTGTTTTGATTAGGATTCTTAGATTCCTTCTAAGTATTATCCTATTTGAGGATAAGTCATTTAGATAAGGTTTCCTAGATTTTAGATAGAGTCAAAGAGATCAAATACTCTTCTACTTCTACTCCTACGTGAGATAAGATTAGAGAGTCCTAGTTGATCTTCTTTTCTTGGTGCTGGCCGAAAATCTTAGCCTATAAATAGGGGGGATGGCCGAAAATCAAAAGTACCCTTGAGTGGTCATTTTTGTTGTCTCTTTTGAGAGTTTTTCCTATGTGGAATTTTTGTTAAATGGAGTTTACAATTTTCGTGTCAAGTATGATTTAACCAAGAGGGTTTTCATCTTGTCTTGGATCTTTTGATCTTGCAGAAACCATTCTTTTTCAAGTATGCTTCTTGATAGAATTGTTTTAAAACCAAACTTCTTATTTTCATACTACTTCTAGTAGTTCGATTGATGAGCCTTTCTTTTGGCTTGGTGTTCGAATTCATGGTGTGTGTGTTCATAAGTTCTATTGTGCGGTTTGTCCTACTTTTGTTGGATGAGTTGTGCTTTGGCATAAGCATTTTAAGATAGTGTATGTGTTGCATATCTTTGTTGGTTATGGAGATTACTAATCAATAGTATTCATTCATAGTTGAGCATTGTTTGCTCCTACCTTTCTTGAGTCTCTTGAATGATGACTGATCGAGTATATTGAATAGTGTCCTTACTATTCTTAGTGTGGGTTGTTGTTTAATTCGAATCTTTTATGGATAATGTGTTCTTTGCTTGGTTTAAGTTAAGAGGTAGAAATCCTTAGATAAACGATCGTTTTACTGTGAATTTTTCGCACTCTTTTGAGTTTCACGGGATAGACAAATTATCTTCGTACTTTCTTGTTTGATGGTTGCATTAACGAAATTTGCTTCATCTACGAGATTGCTATCACAGGAAATGCCTCCTCGTAGCGAGTGGCTTCCTACACAACCATGGAGATAGAAGTCAAATTGTCTTCCCTCCATCCAACAAGGAAAACACATGCAACATAAATCGACCTAATTGCAGGATATAACAAGATAGCTGGCAACAAAGCATGAAAGAAATCTGGAACAACCCATCAACAACAGAAAAACAACATCCAAAAGTACTTCATTACACGGCATCCACTAGCGCCAAAATTACAAGTCAGAAACCGCCATGATCAAAAACTAACAAAAGCAGAGGATAATGCACTAATCTATACCTCTCCACCACCCTGGAGATGCAAGACGCCATCCTCCAAGGGGGAAGGGTTGTCTTTACCATCATTAGCCGTAGCGCCTGCACCTTCATCCTGGCCTTCCACCGTCTCTAGCTTCCCACTCAGCGACCCACTGCTGGAGGACGAGCTCTCATCATCTGAGGCATCGTTGGGCGACATGGGGGGAGTTGCGATCCCAGGGGGTGCATGTCAAACAGAGGATTGGGGTCACATTCAAGATCCAGGATGCCTTGCGGGGAGTCCACGGTCGCGTACACCTCCCGGATCGCCTGCATCATGGGAGAGAGTCAACATCCACGTCGCGAATAAACACGCGAGCGTCCCTGGCTACCTTGGCCATCAGCAGACTCTTAGACGAGTAATCCTCCCAGAACGGAGGCACTCTTTCCCGGACAAAGATAAAGTCCTCGCCATCTGAGTCATAATGCTTACGTATCTGTCTCAGGACGTCGTGAGCCCCGACCCCACCAACAGACCCACCCAGGGATAAACCGATGCGACCCCACAACCTTCCTCAGTGAAGCAGATATAAGATCCCCCATCATGACCCAGGGAACTGAAGCTGGCCACCTGATCATGGCTCGCGTTTGCATCCATCAGGCTCACCTTTAATTGAGCGACCTCACCCTGAAGCGTCGAAATGGCGTTGGCCTGAGCGCTGTCCTTTCCTGCCAGCTCTTTCTTCAGCACTTCAACCTCAGCACGGAGCGCAGTCCTCTCAGATGACACGGCAAACCAGCGACCCAAGCAACAACAGATGACACGGCGGTTTGGGCCCCAGCAACTTGTTCCTTTTGCTTTCTTCTGCCTGTGACAGGCTGGGAGCCGACCCGGACTGGCTTCCATCAACTCTCTTCTTCCTCTTCCCCAAAGCCGCGGTCTCCCCAACGTTGTGGGTGGTAGCCATTGCAGATTTGGGATACATATTCTTCTTACCCATTATAAAAAGCTCTAACCTACAAAGAAGAAGGACAAGAGGTCAAGAGTCAGTACTAATTTGAGGAATACCTACAGCATAGTCATAGATAAGGTCGCGGTTCGCCTGCACATCCGTATATGACAGAATCCTATTGAAGCTAGAAATCTTTTTGATGTCCTCCAAGCGAGCGACGTACACCTTCCTATCCTGGTCGGTCCAGGCATCAATGGTCAAGCTGAAATCAGAGTCATCATACCACTGTGGGACTGCAACGTTCCCAGAGTTAATAAAGAAAATGTACTCCCTCCACTTCTCTCCTTTCATGCTTCCACGCTTCTCTACCGCAATCAGTGTGTGCGACCCCGTCATAAGGTTATGCTGAAAGCTAAACCACCTAGTATAGTTCTTGAGCGATCGCGCCATCTTGAAAAAACAACAGAACAAAAACACATCTGCCCTCACCCCTACTGCATGACAGATATGCAAAAAATCCAAAATAAAGGGGATCGCATTAGGCGACCACTGGGCAAGGGGCATCTCATTGGCCCGCATCAAAGCCACCACAAAGGGAAGAAGGGGCAGCTTCAGCCCTAACTCCTGGAATCGGAGGTATATCGTCATCTTCCCCGGCGGCGGGAGATGGGCCCGGTCCCCACGACCAGGTGACGTCGCCTTCATCCCCTTTAAGCCGTACTTCTTCCTAATGACCTTCAAGTCGCCATCAGTCAACTCAGAAGCGATGGCAATGACCGGAATCGGCCTCTTTGCACGAGGACCCATGACCAGACAGATGACAGAAAACACACCACAAAAACAGAGAAAGGGTGGGGGAAAGGAGAAATCGGAAAACTCTACTCACCAAAGGCAAAGGCTTTGAGTGTCACCGGAATTTGTTTCTGATAGCGAGGAAAAATATGCACCAAATGGAACTCCAAGAATCTACCCTGATTTTCTCTTAAAGGGGGGAGGGGAGAGGGGAGAGAGTGGGGAGATAAGGGGGCGAATTCCGAAAAGACGTGCCCCCAATTCAAACCGTCGTTCGAGGCTCATCGCGGCCATTCATGACGATCGGGGGGGGAACTCACCCAAGCTGTCCGATGATAGGAATCCCTCCGCCCACCCTGAGGTTTGGGGCGAAAGCGGGCCTTACCTGCCAGGGCCCAAGTCGCAGAGGCATGATTACTAGAGCCCAAGCCCAGACAGAATCTCAAGCCTTAGCCTCTAGTAGGGGTAGTTGATTGGGCAATGCTATCCCATTGCCTTATTAGGTCTCAGCAACTATAACCTAAGGGCCACAAAAGGCCCATCCAAGAGCCATGAGCACCCATGTGCTAGGGAAATATTCCATATTCCCTTTTTGGTTTATAAAAAGAGACGCCCCAAAGTATTTCAAAGAGGTGCTTTCTCTATCTAGTTTTAGCACTTTAATACTTTCCTTCTCTCTCTAAGTCTGACTTAAGCACCGAAGTGCTAACCATATTTTACAGGGTTTTTAGGTAATTTAGGCGTTGTCACGTGGGCCAACCAAGAACCGCACCATCACTCACAAAAGGAAGAAATACGGAAACAGATCCAAAACTTCCGACGGCTGGAGGTGCTGGAGCACCTCCAAGCCTCTGAATAGGTCTGCCCCTGATTGTTTATGCGTTCATTGCTTAAATATGGAAGTAAATTTGAATATTTCTTCATATTGTTTTCTCCGGATGGCGTAAAGACATCTCTGGGGCATGAAGCTGTTGCTTGCGGCACAATGCTATGGTGAGTGGCGACCAGCCATGCAAAATAAAATTAGTAATATATATTTATAATTTTCTCAATTCCAAAAAAAATCTATATTGAGTTTTGAGTTTTGTATTGTTTCTAGTACAAATTTGGAAACTCAATTTAGACTATATTGAATTTTAAATTTTGTATTGTTTCTAGTATAAATTTAGAAACTCAATTTGGACTATTTTTTGTGGGACAGATGAAGTATATGGTATATGAAATTATTACTCTAATAATTTATTAGAACTCAAGATTCAAGAAGCGTGATCCTTTGGTTCCGCATTAGTATTAAAAAAAATTATTAAATAAAAAGGACTGTTCCCAAACGATCATCAAAGGCTACAATTTTTTTATATTTGATTGAACTTTGACTGTAATATAGTCATAGTAATACTCGTAAATCCAAAATGAGAGAATCATAATGACTACTCCAATCCATCCACAATAACATAACAAGAAGAAAATTGTAAGACTCCACTCTCGCCATGAAGAAAGAGTTATACCCGGTTGTGTAGGTCTTACCACCGTGCCATTTAGACACAGGCCAAAACTTCAAAAAGCCACTGCAATGCTGAGGAAAGAAATTAAATTATGCTATCATTGGTCATTTCTCCTTTTGATCCCTTCCCTCACTTGAAAAGACTCATGAAACCATCGAAAAGTCTAAGTGCCTTCAGTTCACCTCTTCTTATCTCCTGTAATCTTCTCCTCAGAATCTGCAGTAACCACAATCATCATCATAAACGGATTACGACATCTTATCACGAGGAATAATCTAGAGCTTAAGGAAATGATGCTTGAAATTGTTATCACAAGTGGTCATTTCTCAGTCAAAATAGTCCACTAAAAGAATATATCAGCATTTCCAAAGAAATTATGATCAAGTCGGAAATACTTGCAATCTAAGCATATGTAACGTCCCTTTTGATCCATACTCTACAGAGCATAGTCTTCAGGATGAAAATAGAGATTTCAAGACGACCTTAATTTTGTTCAGATGAGAAACACGCATCATCATGTTCCTGATGATGCAGACTGCAAATCCAACATCTTTTGAATCACATGCTTTTGCATTTCAAGTCAAAACAACCCACTGAACTTGAAAGGAGCTGAAAAATGAAAACAATTTCATACTAGCACGGGAAATGAATTGATTCTTACATATTGTGCTCTGAACAATATCCTCTGTTCACTAGTACACAAGTCCACTGCAAGCTGCTTGAGAAACAACTTCCGGTTGAGTAACTTCGGATTAGTCACATCTAAATCCATAGACCCACTTGCCTATCGTGAAAATTAATATGGTTAGTAGGCTTCACAAAATCCTTTTCATGCCAGATTCTGCATGAGAATGTTGAAACTTATGAAAATTTTCAATTACCTGAAGGAATTTGGAATACTTTGATATACTACTCTCACAGTTATCCAATATAAATTGCAATGCATCTTCCTGTAGTTCAGGAAATGAGATGTCCTTCTTGCAGGTTGACTTGTTTGATGCTGCCGCTGCTATCTGTAAGAAGATCAAATTTAATATGGATAGCTAAATTATTAATTCATACAAACAAAACAAATATGGAGGACCTACATCGTCAAACCAATTCTTCATAGCTGGGGGACTAACCGCCAGGTAGGCATATGCCATCAACTCCAGAGGCCAACCAGTTACTCGTAACGGATAACATTGCGAACTGCAATAAAGGAATAATGATAAGAATGAGTAAAAGACCTGCTTAATCTCACTTAAAAATGAGATGTAAGATCATACGACAGAATGAACACACAACATAATCATTAGAAGCCATTTTACATGAGAAATAGTACTCACACTGACAATCCATACTTCGCTAATGCTTCCATCTTCTCCTTGAAACACTTATCAGATTTGTTAAGTGACAATGACAACTCCACAGAGTCACTTGGGTTGGTGCCTTCTCTAGGAACAAATCCATAGGAGAGAAGAAGCTCCCCATTTGATTTCTTTCCGTAAGATATAAAAACCTGCCCGGAGTTGTGCAACCAGCAATTAGATGCATAGGGTAAATGTAATAGTTGAATGGACGTGCAGGACAGTCTGATTGCAGATACAAAATTAGTAAAGAAGTAGTCAGATCATGATGCTGCAATTTTGGGTCTAATACATAAAAGTGGCAGTTTTGGATGTCAAAACTTTTAAACAATATTCAGTGCAGAGATATTATCATTCAATTGGGAATGACTGTACATTTACACTGGCAATCTAATTAAAATGACGAAAGGAAAAAAGATAAGAGCATGTATTTACCATGTCTTACAATGATAGATATTGAACGAAGGGAAATCTACTTTTGTTCCTCCTTGGAGATTATGGTAAACTTAAAGTCGATGAAAAAGAAAACTACAACACTACCCGAGATTTGTCCTATGGTAGATGGTAGAAGGTTATTCTAATTGTAACTGGTTTATTTGTATCCTTTAAAGCCTTCTTTGAATCTTGTGAAAGTTGAGAATTGCTGGATTTTGTATACCTGCTCACCTGGTTGGTAGGCCCTATCCGTCGTATATACAACTCCCTTTGATGATTTATCATAGTCAAGAAAAGTTTCAACCTAAAACAACCAAGTTACATCCAAGAGTAAGATAATGTCACATAGGCAAACGACGTGAAATTTACGAGGTGAACTTCGGCAAACCTCACAACTATGATTAAGCATATCTGCCCAGGGAACCAGTGCGACTCTGTCATCCATTGAGGGTAGGCGGACCTGCGTCATCAGTGAAATATCAGCTTCGAGGATCTTCCCCCGGGTTTAACTTTCCCAGTAGCAATTCATTAATACAATAGAGAAATTAGATAACCATGACTGTCTGAAATAAAGAAAAAAAACTACGCACATGTTTATGATAACAAGGGAAGAACCAGGCATGTAAGGTGCAATACAAATACGGTTCTTACCAAACGGGAGAAGAGTATACCGAAAGACCATTTAAAAGTTTCAATATTGAACACCTGCATTAACAAAACACACCATTGATGTAAGTGTGAGGTTTACAATCAGACCGCATTCCTTAAATCTTAGAGCAGCATAAAGTCTAATTACAACATTAATCCGGTTTGTAGTTGAGAATCAGACAAAGTAGCATTCCTTAATACTAAGTCGAGAATCAGCTGAATGGCTAGATAGATTTGATTCCCACACACATTTCGAAAACACCAATTTACTTCAAACCCACACATATAGAGGAAAGAAGTTCCCAAAAGGTTGCAGATATTAATTCAAACCCTAAAGTATCCCCTTTAAAGATGCAAGACACATGAGTTTATTACCATATTTAATTATATGACAGAATAATCTGCATTGACCTGCTTTTAATGACAAACAGAAATCATAGAAAGACAATTTACCTTTTCCGGAAATATATCAGAATGCCTGGAAAAGATCCTCAGCTTCAAGTCATCAAATCTGCATAAGAGATCACAATCACTCCAAACATAGAAAGAAGAAAAGACTGAACTAGTCAACTTTTACCCATTACTGAGCATGAAAGGAGTAGCCCCCATTATTTTGTAAAGCATAAAAACTTTGATTTATGAAATCGAAGGGCCATAAAACTAATGCCTTTCAGAGATGGTTTTTATATCAGAGTTGGGAATTCTGGTTGTTTAGCTGTTGCACAACTAAAATAGAACAGGAGTAAGCAGTATGCACAACTATAGAAAATTGCTCTACCAGAGCTCAATAAATGAGTACATACGTTCCAGTGACATCATTAATCCTTTCAATTGCTCGCTGCCTAATTTGTGAGGCCTCCAGATACCTATCTAGTTCTGACTGAGTCCTGAAATGACACAAAGCCGCTGTAGGGGAAACTACTGAGCATATATCTTATAATGTAAAAGGAGGAAGAGAAACCAACCAACAAGGATGGTAAAGAATTACCAGTATAAAAGAGAATAAGGCTGTCTTGGCAGAGCTGAGATGTAGTTTTTCCATCTCGACGAGGAAGCAAGACTTGCTTCGCTAATTAAATAAGTTGCAAGTAATGGCCAATCTGGAACATTGTACTGCTTGAGGATTTCACCAGCTTCTTTGCAGCTCCACTCCTGCAGAAGACAACAATGTAGTCTTCAGCTAAGTCGGATTAATCCATAAGATCCAGGAAATTTCAACTATGATATAACTGCACAACATGGGAAGGCAATGATCACACTGGATTGAGTAGAAGAAAGCAACAGCTAAATGAACAGATCATGGAACTTTACTAAGACAAGCAAAACATGGTGAAATAGCAAGAGGGATCCCTGAAAAGTGCATGCCTAATTGACATGGTGAAAAACCCACATGCAGCAATGTGGAGGCTCAACAAAGCTCTTGCTAATCCAATCTTTTTCCCCTTATTTCAGAACATGGAGAACTTGTAAACTTATAGCCCTCATGTTATGCAGCTGTCCTTCTAAGTTTCATGTTGAATCTGTTGTAATTTGAGAGCAATGATGAGCAAGCACTCTGTTCAACATTAGTACTTATGTCTCGACTCTGTTCTCGCTTGAATGTTGAGGTTGTACTTCACATTCATATCGTTATAGGTCAGTTAAATCCAGCAAGAAAAAATTACCAAGTTGCAATACATTTTTATGAGAATTGGAGTTCAAGTTGATATACTTGAAGGAACTTATTGCGCTACTAAACTTCAGTCCTAATGAGTTCAAAACTATCAATTCCATGTCTAGTATCTCTAGCCTAACTTGGGAATAGCAAAACATAAATAACTCTTAACATAGATAAATGTATCAAAGCAAACCAAGAGAAAAGACAAGCACAGCTTATTGCAAGCAATTGGCTAGTCTCACTCTACCAAGCCTAATTCAGTAGAATAAACCTGAATTCAGTGGCAATATGAATATTAACATAAAATGGATGTGAAACGGAAGTATAACGACACTTCAGAAATGTCGAAGTGACACGTTTATGATCCTCAAAGTGTATACACCATCCTGGTTGAGATGCAGGAAAAGAAAAACAAGAACACACTTGGGCTTACAACTACTCAACCAGTTCAATTGCAATGCGCTGTCCAAAAAATATAATCTTGCTGAAACGCAACTACTCACAGGGACTGAATTTTCTTAAATCATTTTCAGTCGAAATCTCCCGAAACTGTTGGGAAAGAAAATAATTGCAATTGGAAATGCTCCCTAGGAAAGGAAAATAGGGACAAAAAAACCCCAAAAATTCAATCAAAACAGTGAGGGGGAAAAAAATGTAATATTTGCAAAAAATATCTTATACCGAGTCAGCAGTGATGACGAGCGAGGGAGGCACAAACAGCAACTTCTCTCCCTTCCTTATATTCTTGAGAGCAACAAGTCCCCTTTCTCCAACATCCACCTTCTGTATAGCCATTCTCTGTTCAGGCAAGCCTGATTGATACAACCATTTCTGCAGAGAAGCAGCATTTTCAAGGGAGTCAACGTCACAACCCCAGCTGACTTCCTCTTGAGCTTTGAGGGTATCATTTGAAGTGGAAATTGAAGAGCAACGAATGGTGATGAGGCTTCTGCTGAACTTCCCTCGGGAAATCGGATGATGGGTTGTTCCAAATAGTAGAGATGAAGAGCTTGAAAGGCTAGAAAACGTGGGTGTTAATGTCGCTCTGATGAGAACCATGGAAGAAGCGTCAGCCATGATTGAGGAGAAATCTTATCTGGGCGTTCGACTGTAAAAGAGAGGGAACCGATGAGGGGAAATTATGTGGCGTCCTTGTTTTTGACTTTTCGAGCAGCTAAAAAAAGATATATTTATAATTTTAGTATACTCATGCTTGATGGGTGAACCTACTTTGCTCACCATAATTTCACTTTGTCCCTTATTCACATTCCAACGTTTTAAATTTGCCAATAAGAGTTACCCAAGTGGTAAATGGGCATAACATCAATCCGTAAGTCCCAGGTTCAAACCTCACTAACAGCATTTTTATATGTTGAGTTGTATAGGTTATCTTGCACTTGACAGGGTAGGAAGGCTTTTCGAGTACTAGATCGAGGCGTGAGTGCACAATGGAATGGTTAAAGTTAAAACGGAAACAAGAATTAAAATAAAATGATCTGAAAAAGTAATGGTAATCGAGGCGTGACTGCACAATGGAATAGTTAAAGTTAAAACGGAAACAAGAATTAAAATAAAATGATCTGAAAAAGTAATGGTAATCGAGGCGTATAGTTAAAGTTAAAACGGAAACAAGAATTAAAATAAAATAATCTGAAAAAGTAATGGTAATCGAGGCGTGACTGCACAATGGAATGGTTAAAGTTAAAACGGGAACAAAAATTAAAATAAAATAATCTGAAAAAGTAATGGTATTGACCGCACAATGGTTATGGAAACACACAATGATTAAAGTTGAAACATAAACAAGAATGAAATAAAATAATTTTTGCACAATAGCTAAAGCTGAAACGGAAACAAGAATGAAATAAAATAATTTTTGCACAATGGTTAAAGATGAAACAGAAACAAGAATGAAATAAAATGATTTGAAAAAGTAATAGTATTGACTGCACAATGATTATGGTTTAAGCTGAAGCGGAAACATACAATGATTAAAGTTGAAACAGAAACAAGAATGAAATAAAATGATTTGAAAAAGTAATGGTATTAAGCGCACAATGATTAAAGTTGAAACGGAAACAAGAATAAAATAAAATGATTTGAAAAAGTAATGGTAGTGCAACATAAGATAACACTAGTTTCTTACTTAATTCTGATCATCCCTAATTCATTCATTATATGCTGCGGAGAGTTCGGGGCCAAGTTGACATAGGTTTTGATTCTGTTCTTAATCTTTCAAAATCCCCTAAATCTTCAAAATTTTGCATTTACTCGTTTAATACTAGCACTTTCCTTCTTCCACTTTTTTGTTTTACTTTATTTTATTCGAAATTTTGTTAACATCTCCTTTAAACTTGATCTCTTCTTTACTATTTGAGAAGTTACAACAAAAATTGTAAAAGGAGTTATAATTATTCTGAATGGATGAAACATGATGGAATTGGAAGATAATAGTTGAAAATTTAGAAAATTTAGAAGTATAATAATACAGGAGAATTTTGCTAAATTAATTATCTATAAATTAATTTTTTCAATTAATTAATAATTTTTTCCCGTTCCAATTTGAAATTAGTACAAAAAGTGAACAAAAATATAAAATGATAATATAATAATATTTCAGAAAATCCCCTATATATCTATAGATCGGTATAATACTATAAATTAATTATTTCAAGTAATTAATACTTTTTTTCGTCCCAATTTAGGACCAGTATAAAAAGTGAACAAAAACGATAAAATGATAATATAATAATATCTTAAAAAATTTCTTATATATCTATAGGTCCCAACAATAATTTAAATCAATAATTAATCTAATTTAAAAAAATTATAATAACTTTAAATATTTGGTAAAATATGTATTATAGATACTTATTTTTATAGTCCTTGAAAATGATATAGACTATGTATGAATTTTAGTATTGAGAAAAATTCAACATGTTTCATTCGAATGGTAAAGATAACTAATTCTTTTTTCCTCAAGAAACCTCTTTAAATTAATAATTTTATTAATTTATGATTATTTAATAATTTTTAAAATTAATAAATTTTGGTGGTCCTAACAATACTAATATTAATAGAGAAATGTTCTTGTAATTTTTTGTGGCAAAATGACTAATTTACTTATATTATGCTAATTTTTAAAGTAACAAATAGGACAATAGGTGGAAGATGATACGAGTATTAAAATACGGATTACATGGATTTAAGGGTTTTTTTTTGGATTTTTCCCTCCTTCCTTGATTCATTCGCCTTAGCTTAGCTGTATTCTGTTAGTGTATGTATATATTAGATATAGAAGCCTATGGGGTTCCACCTCAAAATCAATTGGCAATGAGGGGAGTAGCCCATAGACTTATATATTGATATCAAGTCTCTCCCACCACCAATATGGGATACTCAACACTCCCCCGCAAGCCCAACGTCTCTTCTTTGGGTTGGGCTTGTGTCACGGGCTTACTTTTTCAAAGTAACGGCCGTGCGGCACTAGCACAAAACAACTAACGATCAAGTGCTAGCTCAGCCTTAAGACCCCCAAAGTGTGCAAAGCTAGGCAAGACTTTAAAGAACGGAGGCAAAGAAAAACTTAAGAAAGGTTGAAAGTAAAAGAACGATGAAGGGACAAGAGAGCTTAAGGAATGCTTGAGAACTCTACTCAAAGCTTGGATACCTTACAAATGAAGGGGGCATGGGGTTTTATAGGTAAACCCCAAGTCCCAAAGAATTCTAGAGGATTCTATGTACATAATAAAATAATAGAATTCTAGAGAATTCCTACCATAAAATATTCTAAGTCCAAAATATCTACAAGTCTCTAGAATCCTCCACACGGTTCTAGCAAACTCGGGTAGCTTCCACACGGTTCTACCCGTTCCTAGAGAGTTCCGGGCCTCTCTAGAGAATTCCAGAGTCTTCAAGATTTGACCGGAGAATTCCACAAGGCTCTAGACCGTTCCGTCCCATGTCCATCTACGAAAATAGCCTATTTCGCAGCAAACCACCCGAATTCGTGGGGAAGAAAAACTGTCCATGACATCCTCCCCCACCAAAATGGTGCATCGCCCCGATGCACCTAAGTCTCGAAGGCAATGTTGATAGGAACGGGTGCACGATTCTCCTCAAAGTCCTCGATCAATTTGGTGAATTGCCAAAGCTTCTCGATTGGCTCCCAACTCGTCTTACTCATTGGCAAATTCTTCCATTTCACCAGGTATTCTTTAGTCGCTACCCCACTCTTGCCTCGAACGATCCTCTTAGAAAGGATGTCCTCTGCGGTCCTGTTCCTCGTGCTCGCGTAAGCCATCTGGTGCCCTTGAGGAAACGTTCCGTTCTTCGTCCTCTGGGTCCTTGCGGTATGGCTTAAGTAGGCTCACATAAAAGACTGGATGAAGCCTTGAAAAGGCCTCGGGTAGTTCCAGCTTGTAAGCAACCGAACCCACTTTCTTAAGAACGGTGAAAGGACCCTCGTATCTGCGCATGAGACCCTTGTGTAGACCACGGCTCCGTCTATGCTCATAAAGCTTCACCAAGACTTGGTCGCCTTCTTCAAACTCGTGACGGGTCCGTTTCTTATCCGCCCATTTCTTCATGTGCGCGGCCGACTTCTCCAAGTAGAGTTTTGTCTCGTCGGCCCGTTCTTGCCAATCTTTGGCAAACTTGTATGCGGGTGGGCTATTGCCCTTGTAGCCCCCAAGAATGTCCTTAGGCGTAGTCGGTTGGAAACCAAGGACAATCTCAAACGTACTTTTGCCCGTGCTCTCACTCCGCATCAAGTTATAGGAAAATTGGGCACCGTCTAGCAAACGTACCCAATCTTTTTGGTTGGCTGCCACATAGTACCTAAGGTACACCTCCAAGAGGCCGTTGATGCGCTCCGTCTGCCCATCCGTTTGCGGGTGCAAAGATGTAGACATCTTGAGCTCCGTCCCAAGTAAACGAAAGAGTTCTTGCCAAAAACGGCCGGTGAACCTTGAGTCCCTGTCGCTTATGATCGATGTAGGAAGCCCCCAATATTTCACCATATGCCTAAGAAAAAGTTTGGCTGTTATCTCCGCGGTGCACTCTTTTGGGGCGGGTATCAAGACCCCATACTTAGACAAACGATCTACCACAACAAGTATGTTGGTGCAACTCTCGGAAACGGGCAGGATCACGATGAAATCCATCAAAATGGTGTCCCATGGGCATTCCGGAATAGGCAAGGGTGATAACAAGCCATGCGGGTGGTCTTGCTCGGTCTTGTCTTGTTGGCAAACTAGACAAGTCCTTACATATGTCTCCACGTCTTCCCGCATGCGAGGCCAATAGAACCGTTCATGTACTAAGGCAAGTGTGAGATGCGTACCTGGGTGACCCGCATAACGGCTATCATGGCAATCCCTTAGAATCTCCCTTCTAAGTCCATCCCATGCGGGCACGTACAAACGGTTCCCCTTGGCATAAAGTATCCCATCCTCAAGCCATAACTGCGTTGTCTTGCCTTCCTTCACGAGCTCCATGGACCTTTGAGCTTGACGGTCATGCTCAAGACCCTTCTTGATGCGATCAACCAGCGTCCCCTCGGGTATGCTAACGATTGGTGCAAGACACGCCTTTCGGCTAAGGGCGTCGGCCACGTGGTTAGTCTTCCCCGGGCTATACTCAAGCTCGTATTTAAACTCGGCCAAGAAGTCCAACCAACGCGCTTGCTTGCTTGAAAGCTTAGGTTGGCTTTGATGGTAGCTCACTGCCCGATTGTCCGTCTTGATCTTGAACGGTGTGGCGGCCTTCAAGTAATGCTCCCAAACTCTAAGGTAGTGAACTATAGCCAACATCTCCTTCTCGTGCGTTGGCCACCTTTTCTCGGTCTCGTTCAACTTGCGACTTTCAAAGGCGATCGGGTGACCATCTTGCATGAGAACGCCCCCAATGGCGAAGTCCGAAGCGTCCGTGCATACCTCAAACGGTTTCTCAAAATCAGGGAGAGCTAAGACTGGCTCTCGAGTGACGACGTCCTTTAAAGCCTCGAACGCTGTTTGGTGTTTTGGTGTCCAACACCAAGCTTGCCCCTTCTTCAAGAGATCTGTTAATGGAGCGGCTATGGCGGAGTGCCCTTCAATGAATCGCCGATAGTAATTAACAAGCCCCAACAATGATCTCAGCTCTGTTGGCTTTGTGGGTGCCTCCCACTCCACGATAGCCTTGATTTTGGTCGGATCCATGCGGATTTGGCCCCCACCAATGATGTGTCCCAAGAACGACACCTCTTCAAGGCCGAAGGAACACTTCTCCCTTTTAACATAGAGCTGGTTTTCCCTAAGGACTTGGAAAAAGGCTCTAAGATGCTCCACATGCTCCTTTATTGTGTTACTATAGATGACGATGTCGTCCAAGTATACTACAACGAACTTATCAATGAAATCGGCTAGCACGCGTTGCATCAAAGTGCAAAACGTGGCTGGGGCGTTAGTTAAACCGAACGGCATAACAAGAAACTCATAAGAGCCATACCTCGTCACCATGGCCATTTTCGGTTCATCACCGGGTGCTATGCGTACTTGGTAGTATCCCTTCCGCAAGTCCATCTTGGAAAAGATCCGTGCCCGTTGCAGCCGGTCGAACAAGTCTGCTATAAGTGGGATAGGGTACTTGTTCTTCACGGTTAGCTTGTTTAACGCCCGATAGTCGATGCACAAACGTAGCGTCCCATCTTTCTTGCGTTGGAACAAGGCCGGCGAACCCCACGGACTCTTAGACGGCTTTGCATGACCCGATTCAAGTAGCTCCTTGATTTGCACCTTGAGCTCCTCCAGCTCGCTAGGAGACATACGATAAGGCACCTTGGCTATCAGTTTTGCCCCGTCCACCAACTCGATGGCATGATCAACCTCCCTCCTTGGTGGAAGACCTTTGGGCAAATCGTCAGGCATCACATCCTCGAACTCAGCAAGGATCCATTCGATAGGAGGCGGGATCCGTTCCTCTTTTTTCAGCTCCTCCGTGCATGGTTCCTCCTCAAACACCATGGCGGCAAAGGTGTGTTCACCCCGCTTTAGCCCCTTGTTCAGTTGGGAAGGGCTAATCTCGTTTTCGCGCCTAAACTTCACCACACAAGGCTTCTCGCCTTGGAGGATCACCATCGTGTCGTTGCTAGGCACGATGATCGGCTTCACCTGGTCTAAAAACTCCATGCCAAACACAAGACCATAATCATCCATAGGTGCAATGGAGAAATTAACCGTACCTGACCAGTTGCCGATTTTAAGAGGCACGCCTCTTGCTTCGCCCACAAGACCTGTCCATTCGCCTCTTGCACGCCTCTTGCTTGAAACGGCCTTTGCTAGGTGTCCACTTGACTCCAAGCGTACGGGCTACCTCTTCCGTGAGATAACTCGTATCGGCCCCCGTGTCTAGCATGCCCCATCTAGACCCGTTTGCGAACGATGCCTCCATGTAAAGATGGCCTTGACATGTCTCGGCCTTGGCATGCATGGCGTCTAGCCGTTTCATGCAAGCGACCCGTTTCTCCTTCTCTTGGTATAAACCTTGCGCCAATGCTGCCAACTTCGAACGAGACGGGCAATCGCGTGCCATGTGCGCTCCCCCGCACAAGAAGCACCCTTGAAACTTCTTTGGCTTGTCCCCCTTAGTCTCCTTGCTTGAAGACGGCTTTGTGGAGTCGGCTGCCGGTTTCGCGGGTGTGGAAGACTTCCCTTTGTCTCCCCCACCTTTGCCTTGGAACGGCTTCTTGCCCTTGTCCTTGGAGCTATCCTTCTTTTGGAACTCAACAAGCGACTCGGCCACCTTTAACGCCCGATCGATGTCCTGGACTTCTCTCCGTTGTAGCTCAAGTTTGGCCCAACGGTTGAGACCGCCCATGAAAGTAAAGAACGCCTCCTTGGGCGAGAGATCCGGAATTTCAAGCATCAAGTCCGAAAATTCCTTAACGTATTCCCGGATTTGGCCTTCCCTATGGTGCAGACGACGAAGCTTGGCCCGGGCTTCGTCTTCCACATCCACGGGTAGGAAATACTTTCTAAACTCTTCCTTAAAACCATCCCACGTGGTGAAGACCGGGTCTCCGTCCCCCACGGGTTTCATCATACGTTTCCACCATGATAAAACACTATCTTTAAGATAAAGAGAGGCTTGGAAGAGTCTTACCGAGTCGTCCATGATATTCATAGCCCCAAAGTACCGTTCCATGCTGTAGAGAAAGTTCTCTATGTCCCTCAAGCGACGGCTGCCCTTGTATTCGTCCGGCTTGGGCGCTTCAAGCCTTGGAACCGTCCCCACGGCTCCGGTTGTCCCTTGCACGGCCACGGCGTCAAGCCATGCCTTAAGACGCGCCGATTCTGCCCGAGAAGTCTCCAGCTCCCCCATAAGCCGGCTGACGTCGTCTTGGAGGGCGACAACGCGAGCAAGGCTTTCCTCCTTCGACTTGTTGCATCGTTCCACCATTTCATTGAGTGTCCCTAGCATGTCGTCCTTCATTTGCTGCATGACCTCTTGCAATTCCCCTGCGAATCGCTCCATGCGAGCTTCGACGACCCCCGCTACCACCTCAGGGTGCTCGTCCCAACGGTCTTGGTGGTCGGCCACAACAAGCTCTAGCTTGGCAAGCCGTTTCTCGAATTCCACCATCGGCTCCCTAACGACCGACTTCTCCTTGCGGCTTCCTTTGCGGGTGGTCCTCCCCACCTCGCGGGAAACGTGATCCCCCTCAAGTTCCGACCCTTGAACGACCTCCGAAGGATTGGACATAGCTTATGCACGAAAGAAAACCAACAAACGGAAGTGTAGACGATTTAGCACACTAAGTATCGAGCCGAGGCTCTGATACCAACTGTCACGGGCTTACTTTTTCAAAGTAACGGCCGTGCGGCACTAGCACAAAACAACTAACGATCAAGTGCTAGCTCAACCTTAAGACCCCCAAAGCGTGCAAAGCTAGGCAAGACTTTAAGGAACGGAGACAAAGAAAAACTTAAGAAAGGTTGAAAGTGAAAGAACGATGAAGGCACAAGAGAGCTTAAGGAATGCTTGAGAATTCTACTCAAAACTTGGATACCTTAGAAATGAAGGGGGCATGGGGTATTTATAGGCAAACCCCAAGTCCCAAAGAATTCTAGAGGATTCTATGTACATAATAAAATAATAGAATTCTAGAGAATTCCTACCATAAAATATTCTAAGTCCAAAATATCTACAAGTCTCTAGAATCCTCCACACGGTTCTAGCAAACTCGGGTAGCTTCCACACGGTTCTACCCGTTTCTAGAGAGTTCTGGGCCTCTCTAGAGAATTCCAGAGTCTTCAAAATTTGACCGGAGAATTCCACAAAGTTTTAGACCGTTCCATCCTATGTCCGTCTACGAAAATAGCCTATTTCGCAGCAAACCACCCGAATTCGTGGGGAAGAAAAACTGTCCATGACACTTGTCAGTCCAGTCACCGCCTCACGTCTCAACCCTACCAGTTCTATCACATCAGGCTTTAGAGTCTGACTCTTGGCAGGCTGGCTCTGATACCATATATATAGTGTGTACATGGTTACAATAGGATTACAACAATACCCCTGCACTAACCTAATATATACATACACTAACACATTCATCATTTATCTGAAGGCCCCTAAGCTCCACTCAGTAAACCTTCACTGCTGAAGAAGCAGCATGTCAGCCAGCACGATCTTCACTACCTCCAATTTCTCATCTTTTCACCTCCCACTTAATTCTCATAATAGAATACCACCCCAAAAGCACCACTTACTTAATTCGCCGAGACTTTGCAAGGAAATTTGGGGGAAGAATGGAGCCATTTCCACGAAGCACTTGCAGTTGCACAAATTTGAAAAGGGTCGTTCCCAGCTTAAAAAATTATGTTGTCACAGTTCTTTAAATACTGAACAAAACCCGCAAGAACCCGTATTTGAAAACGAAGTTTCTTCTGAGGATGATAAGAATGGGGGTGAAGGAGGCGAGGAAAGGGACTGGACATCGTCGATTTTGCTATCTGGATTGTATGCTGGGCTTCTCTACTATGTTTTCATTCTTGCGCCTAACCAAACGCCGGTATGATTTTAACCCATTATTATTTTGTTGTTATGCAATCCTTTGTGCTTTCTCTTTTAGCTAGTCCTGTGTTGAAACCTCTGACTGACAATCATTGGGTTTTTCTGTGCCGTAAATGTTATAATTAGAGAATAAAAGGAAAAGGGATAATATACCTATGCATCGTACTGAGTATAAAAGAATTTCGGCGGTCACACCTAAAGGTTTGGTTTTTCTTCATGATTGATTTTGCTAGCAAATGCTCAGAGACTACTCTAATCAATCTATAAGTGAAATAGCTGGGAAGATGAAAAATAGATGTTGATTATGATTGTGAGGGTAGATGGGGCGTTTAGGAGTTTCTTCATTGTTCGGATTGGAGTTGTAGGAGTAAACCTATGCTTAATAGTCACGGGTGATGCTATATGTTCCAATCATAATCAACTTGTTTCTTTGCCACTGGTTTCTTTAACAAGAAACCATAACGAGCAGCCGATTGTTTGTCGTTGATTTTTTTCTCTGTGAGATTGGCGTCATGGTTATAATTACTCTGCCTGTTTCAGTCGACAGATACGTATTTTGTGAAGAAACTCCTTAATGTGATAGGAGATGATGGGTTCAGAATGAACGAAGTGCTCGTGGCTCTGTGGTATATCATGGGGCTGTTTCCATTAGTTTACAGTATGTTGCTACTTCCCTCTGCTAGAAGGTAATTTGAAGAGTTTTCTCACTTGAAGGACCTGCAAAAAAGTGTTTTGTGACATTTTAGTTTTGACCTTCTATATCCGGACTTATCAGTAACTAGGCATTTGTTGGTTGATGATACATAATTGTGATCACCTCTTGTTTGCATTTCGATCTAGAATATCTGTAGCTGTGAGTAGCATGCTGAGAGAAACGGACATGTTCTCTTTCATTTGTAAACAAATTCTCTTTTCATATACTCTGTCATGAAGGGATCCATTTATTTATGTATTTCGTTGTTCAATTATGCAGTGAGAAAGGCAGTCTTCCGGTCTGGCCTTTCCTCGTTCTTTCATTCTTTTTGGGTGCATATGGTTTGATTCCCTATTTCATTCTTTGGAAGCCACCTCCCCCACCTGTTGATGAAACTGAGATCAAGAGTTGGCCCCTGAACTTTCTGGAGTCAAAAGTAACTGCTGGGGTAAGAACTCTTCGAAGAAACCTGTATTTTTCTAAACTGAAAATGCATTTAAAGATCCTAAGATGTTTCTCCTGTCATTTCCTGTTACCTCTTAGTATAAAGTCTAACTAACTATACCTTAGATTACATTGGCTGCAGGTTTGGGTTTAATTGTTTATGCCGGTTTATCAAATGGGGATGTCTGGAAAGAGTTCCACCTGTATTTCAGATCCAGCAGATTTGTAAGTTTCTATATTCTCGGTGTTGTATTTAATTATTCTCTGTTATCCTGCTTGCGATAAGAGGGTAAAATTTGAAAACATAATCCTCCGAAGTTGTTTACTGGGTTCATTGCAAATGTTATTTGGCTGTTTTTCTTTTCATTTTCCTTAGTTTCCAGTTTTCTCTATTGCAGAGAAATTATTTCATAGTTGTAGGTGGAGGTGTTTCCTGTATGTCACAATAACAAGTTTTTATCCTAGATGGTCATCATGATTGATATAGAAGGTTTCAATCACCTACATTACAATACATTTTTCCTTCACCTCTTCCTAGCTGTATGGCATTTAGCTATTTCGTGTAGTGAATTCCTGCTACTGGACTCTTATAATGTGCATTTTCTGCTGCACTACCTTGTGTACTTTGAGGATATACAGCCGGCATCAGTGTTTTAGGAGCTGTGTTCAGTGTCAATGCAGGGATTCCGTGCGTATCATGAGACGGAGACTTGCTTAACTTGTTTAGAAACCAGTTCTGATGGGAATTCTTAACAAATGGTATAACAATCAAGTGAACTCTATGAACATCAGCGGATTTGTAATCAGCATCATTATGATTTTTAGTGCTAGTATCTCTGATAAGTGACTTGGGGAAAGTTTCTTCTCTTTGGAAGCCTCAAATAGCTGCTTATATCTCTTTTTCGTGAACCTGAGCCAGTATTGTGTACTGCAGATACATGCCATGAGCATTGATTTTCTTCTGTTATCAACTTTTGCTCCCTTCTGGGTGTACAATGACATGACTGCTCGGAAATGGTTAGCTCTCATTCATTCATTACATTTCGTGTGTGGGAATTTACAGCTTTCGTTTTGAATGGATCATATATATTACTGATAACAAAGTTAAACCCTAAGAAGACAAGTTAATTTTTTATGTAGGTATGATAGAGGTTCGTGGCTTCTTCCTGTATCACTGCTTCCAGTTGTGGGTCCTGCAGTGTATATCCTCCTACGGCCTTCCCTCTCGGCCATGCCAGCGTTAACCAACCAAAGCACACCAGAAGAATGATTGTAAACTTGTGAAGTTTGGGAAATAGTATTCACTAATAGGTGAAGTATTTCCGAGCTATTATAGTGGCAGTTGAAGAGTGAGAGCTAGCGAGTTTAGTTGTCACTCGTCAAATATTGACAAGAAGTTCACCCAAGCAAACTGCTGGAAGTTTAAAGGTCAGATTGGATAGCAGTAACCCATACTTCAATGAATGAATGACGGAGAAAATGTATGTTTTGGTTCATACACAGCGTGAAGATTTACGGAGCTTGCTTCCTTTTTGCTGTCTCGAAATATGTGTTTGCATTTATTTTACCAATATCCAAAGTTTCAAAGTCATATTGAGAAGAAAAATGTATGATCATCACGACATTCGCGTTATATATTCACTGAAACCGTAGAGATTTGATTTTTTTTTCTCGACTACTTTGCTTTTAATTGTAGTACGAGATTACAGTAAGGCTTGAGCACACTGTGACACTAAACATATACCTATTCAGTAGAGTCTGGGCGAATTTTTCTTCTCTTATTACAACTTTTTTTTACCAGTATATAGAATGCGTTTCAAGAAACGAAAGCATAAACTCCTGTACTTGCAGAGTTCGAAGGCATTTTGTCAAATGAGTCGTGATGCAGAAGAAATTGCAACCATTTTCCAAAACTAACGTTTTGATCGAATCAAACTCTGGAAATCGAAGGCATTTTGTCAAATGAGTTGTGATGCAGAAGAAATTGCAACCATTTCCCAAAACTAACGTTTTGATCGAATCAAACTCTGGAAACAGCTGATTCATTCCAAATTTTCCTTCTGGTGTACAAGAATCATAACCAAATGGCCAAAAACAAACCAACAAAAATTTCTGCAAAATTAATCATCTTCGTTTATTGCTTGTTAAAATCGAAACTGACACATCCATGTAAAATCAAAACACTGCAAAAAGAAACAAGGTCAAAAATCAGAGCAGCGGCCATTCCGTTCCCAATCGCCAAATCGTGTGGGCTCGGGGCCTCTAGGCCCACCAATTTCACCGGTTTCTTTATTCACGTATCCGTCGTCGTCAGCTTCTACTGCAACCTGATTCTTATTAACGGCCTCCCATGTGGAAGTATCTTCTTTGGGGTGACGATGATCTTGCTGCTTTTGCGTTTGATTTTGGAGCTGCTGAGACGGCAAATTATCTGGTACACCTGGGGGCACCGTGTACTCCCTGCGTAATTTACTCTCTTAGAATAGTGTGAGTTCGCTAGATAATTCATCCTTCTTTTTTTTTTTAAACGCGTGTGGATAACCAGTGTTCACCATGTGGATAACCAGTGTTGGCACTATGGATAACCAGTTACACACAGCTGGATAATCATTATTAACCTGTTGGATAACCAGTATGGACATAGTGGATAACCAATGTGCACATTATGGATAACCAGCTACACACAGTTGGATAACCAGTTGCCAAATTTTATTTTTTTCCTTTTATATTTTTCTTAGATATCATTGTCTGTATTTTTTACACTGGTTATCCAGCTGCTCCTCATTCATTTTTTGTTCTCCATCATTTGACAAACTTCTCCTCATTCAATTATATACTATTTATGAAATTTGTCATGTTTGGCATGGGGGCGGCACAGCCGCGAAAGGTGGCGCAATGCAAGGGCACCGCTACAGCAGTCGTTTAGTTTATCACGAGGGGATTTATACAAGTAATTTGTGTCCCCTCTTAACGCAATAACACACTCTCCTTACACACACACTCTCCTTACACACACATAAAAAAAGGATTACCTTAGCTACATTGGCGTGTTCGGCGGGGCGGCGCAGCCGGGGCAGGTTGGTGACCTGCGATTCCGGTAGCCGCGGGAGTAGTTAGTTTATCATGGGGGGCGAAGCCCCCCAATGAACATGCCGTTTGGATAGCCATTTTCTTATGGATATGCAGAATAATATCATAGGATAAACAGTTTAATAAAGAAGTAGAAAGACCAAGAAATTGGGACACTCAGTTTTTGTTGTTTGGGAATTGTGGATAATCAGTTTACACCTTCTGGATAACTAGTTTACAACTTGTGGATAACCAGTTTACACCTTGTGGATAACCAGTTTACAAATTGTGGATAATCAGTTTACATCTTCTGGATAACCAGTTTACAACTTGTGGATAACCAGTATGAAATGGGAGGATAACCAACATTTAATGTAAAGGTGAAAAATGTTAAGCGCGTGTAACGCGTGTGTTTGGTGGGGGTATACGGTATACCCGGGTGCACCGGATACAGACTCGCTGAGTCGAAGTGTGGACGAGTCGACTCGCCGGGATCGACGAAAACTCCGACCAGACGGGAGGTAATCCCAACCTAGTGACCGATTGCTCCATGATCATAGACGCCATTAGACAACCCAATTTGGAAGAAGCCATGTGGAATCAATCAAGATTCAAGAGTGACAGACAAAGTGAGGGATTATTATGAATTTATATGATGGAATTGAAACGTAGGAAAAATAAGAAGGGCTAATTTTCAATTACCTTTATCACCTTATCTTTTAAAGAACTATCAAAACCACCCTTGACATTTACAGTATAGGTCAACCCGGCCCAGCTAAAGACAATATTGATTAAACAAACCAAAACAAATCACAAAAATTCACTAAAAAATCATACGTTACAAGTGTTGGGTCTTCAAAAAGATCAATAAACTAGGTCGGTTTCTCCCATTTTAATAGGTCTATTCTATCATAGTTTCACCATATAATGATGGTATTAATTAATTAATTTATGACAGTAATTTGTTACTGAAAAAAAAAGAAAACAAAAAGAACTTATGTGAACTATTGTAAGTGTCTAAGGTCATGGTGATGACTTTTCATTATTACACTTTAATCTGATGAATTCTAAATGTACAAGGCAGCCTCATTTCATTTATACTTTAATCTGATGAATTCTAAATTTATAAGGCAATCTAATTTAAACACTTCGGAAAAGAAAACTTTACTTTGTCGATGTAAATGACTTGAATGTATTGTTAGCCAACTCAAAACCTTAAAGGGGTAGATTAATCTTGTTTAGTAGGTATAAAATAGGTTCATGGCTTCTTCCCAAATTACTCGTTCTACTTGTGGATCCTGCTCCTAATCTCTGGACTCTTAGGTCTTTTTCCCTCTCGGCCATCGCAGAATTAGCCTGACAAAACGAATCAAAAGACCTTCTAAGTTATACAAAAGTATTTTCCGCTTATAGACAGTTGAATGGTTGACATGTAAGAATGCACAAAGATAAAACTAAATTCTCACCATCAGTTGATATTTTCAAATGTATTAACATCGTTAAAACATCATCAATTAAGAGATAAGTATCCTAATCTGTCTGTATATGAATTAAAGAACCAGATGCATGAGCTTAATGATGAAGACCATGATCCAGAAGATCTGCTTCAGAAGGACTGTAGTGTAAATATTTGAATAGTTAGGGACTCAATTGATTCATCTTGTAATTAGTAGGACTACAATGTAAATATGCTAACATGGAAGCTAGTTGCTGATTATTTGGTAGTTATTAGTTTTAGCAGTTAGTATAAATACGATACAGACACATTTAATGGATTTTGTACAGTTTACTTTTATTAATGCAGAATACACAAAATTTCCCCAAATCTCTTCTTAAGCTCGTTCTTATCAATGGTCGAAACCCTAGTCGGAATTTCTCATGGTATCAGAGCTTAGGCTCTGTATCTTAAGAATTCCAACCGTAGAAATCATCTCCTTGTTATTCCTCGTCTTTCTATCGATTTTCCTGTTAATTGTTCTTGAAATCATGACCGGTGAATTTTCTGAAAGTTCGCACAGAGCAGAGCATCGCAGAGCTCATGGTGATCGGAGAATTCATGAAGATGAGCTCACTCTTCACAGATCTGATCAGCTTGGCATGATGCTTGTATTCGCTCCGCTTAGAGATAGGAACTACTTAATTTGGAGCAGGTCGATGCGAACTGTTTTGGAATCAAAGATGAAAGTCAGTTTCGTCAACGACACTTGCTCCTGTCCAGAAGATATTGATTCTGAAGAATTCATGAGGTAGAAACAGGTTGATTCAACTGTGAAATCATGGATCATTGCAACTCTGAGTCCATAACTTGTTGAAGGATACATGTACAACATTTCAGCACAAGAATTATGGCAGGATCTAGCAGAAAGGTTTGGTACATCCAATTGTCAGCTACTGTATCGAATGAGACAGGAACGGACCAACATTAAGCAAGGTGATGCTCTTCTGAACAAATATTATAGTTCTTTAAAGAGAATTTGGGATGAGTATGCTTATTATAAAACTATGCCTAGTTGTCCACCTGAGGTAGCTAAGAATTTAACTGCTAGAGATGATGAAGAGAAGTTAATTGATTTCCTGATGGGATTGAATACAAGCTGTGAGACTATGAAGGATCAGATTATCATGATGGACTCTATTCCTTCAGTAAATAAGGCATATAACATGCTGCATAAAAATGAGAAGAAACTGCCAGGAATTAGTGGCTCTGCCAGTGAGAATATGGTCTTTATTGCTCAATTAGTTCCAACAGGGAGTTCTTCATCAACATCAGTACTTAATCAAGGATCAAACTCTGCTGGAAATAGCATGGCATTATTGGCAAAACCTGGTCCTACTGGAACCAAGAAGAAGAATGGCTGGTGTGTTTATTGTAAGAGATCAGGGCATGAAAAGGAGAACTGTCCCAAGCTTCAGCTGTTCTGCACACATTGCCAAAGGAATGGTCATGAAACACATAAGTGCTATCAGGTTGTTGGATATCCAGAATGGTGGGTTGACAGAATTGGAGATTCAAGAGGCGAGGTTTCATCTCAACCTGTGGCTAGGAACATTGCTCATTTGGCTGGAACTGAGACTCCTCTAGATCTTGGAGATTCCAGAGATGCTCATGCTGGTAATCAAGATGTTATTCTAAACATGATTCTCAAGCAAATGCAGAACTTACAACAGGAAGTTAGCAGAATGGTCAAAGGAAAGCAGCAAGCTGATGGAAGTTCATGTCATGCCAATTTTGCTCACATCCATGACTTTGCAGGTAGCACAACCTTTCCTAAATTGCAAAGCTCTCGTCATTCTTTAGCATTACTGGCTTTATGGTTTCTAGATACTGGGGCTACAGGAACTATGTCTCATGATTTGTCTTTGCTTCATAACTCTATGCCTGTTTCTGCTTTTACTCCCATTGTTTTGCCCGATGGAAGTGTTCAGTCAGTTAAGCAAATAGGAAATGTCAACCTCACCTCTAAAATCACTCTAACAGATGTGTTATATCTCCCTACATTTAAATACAAACTTATTTATGTGAAAATTGGCACAAACAGCAAACATTCTTTTTACCTTTTTCTGCTGAATTGTGTGTTTTACAGAACCACTTGACTAATAATATCATCGGCATTGGTAAAGTGTTTTATGGTCTCTATGCCTTGACACCAGATTCTTTTGATCCTTCCTATATATCATAGCAGAAATTCAGCAACATCTGCCAAGAATACTTCTTCATTCTTTAGTATGTAAACCAGATGTAGCAATACCACTGAATAATAAGTCCTTATTTTCTAGCCAATGTAATAATATCAACAGTGCAAATAATGTACAGTGGCATCAAAGGCTTGGACATCCATCCTTTCAAGTAGTTAAACATCTTGGAAACATTCCAGATATTGATGTAAACTCTGAATCTTGCTGTGACGTTTGCCCTTTGGCAAAACAGCATAGACTTGTCTTTCCCAATAGTTCAATACATTCTATTGATTGTTTTCAGCTTATTCATGTTGATCTTTTGGGGACCATATTCACACTCAAATCTATCTCAAACACATTATTTTATCACCATTGTCGATGATTATAGTAGATGCACTTGGACACATCTTCTTTGACATAAAACTCAAGTTTATGACATCCTTGAAACTTTCTTTGCCATGACCAAAACTCAATTTCAGAAAACAATTAAGGTCATTAGAACTGATAACGGGACAGAGTTTGTTAATCAGGATTGTTCTTCTTTCTTTTCCCATTTGGGTATTCTTCATAAAAAATCATGTGCTTATACTCCACAACAAAATGGAGTTGTAGAAAGAAAGCACAAACACTTATTACAAGTTGCTAGAGCACTCATGTTTCAATCCTCTCTTCCTAAAAAATTTTGGGGAGATGCAATTCTAACAGCCACCTACTTAATAAATCGTCTTCCTACTGTTATTCACAATTGGAAATCACCTACGGAAGTTTTAACTTCACAGTCTCCCTCTTTATCTCATCTTCATACTTTTGGTTGTTCGTGCTTTGTCACTGATAACAAGCCACATAAGGATAAATTTGCTCCACGTAATTTTAAAGGAGTATTCATTTGATATCCTCATGGCCAAAAGACCTATAAAGTTTACAGCTTAGAAGATCACCAGGTTCATGTTTCTCGTGATGTGATCTTTCATGAAAGTATTTTTCCTTTTCAACCTTCTTCCTCAAGTGACTCTCTTGTTTCAGTTCCACAACCTTTGGTACCTCTTGATCAAGAGTTAGCAACTGTTGAACCCATTCCAGTCACTGTTGAGTCCTAACTCACCTAGACATCATATCTCTTCCAATGATGGTGTTTTATCACCTTCTCATTCACCTGAAAGTTCTTTACATTCATCTTCATCCTCTCCTCCTTCTTCTCCTCCTCCACTTAGGGTTAGTAGTCGTCCCAGGAACCGTTCTGTATGGCTTGATGACTACTATACTAATTCAGTTGTTACACAAAACCCTAAGTTTTCTGCACCATGTACTTTTCCTTTTATGAAGCAATCTCATCTTTCATCCTCTTATATTTCTTTCCTGACAAATCTTGGCACTATTTTCTGAGCCCTGTAACTATAAACATGTCAGTATGTTACCTGAGTGGCAGGATGCAATGCAGAAGGAACTTGATGCTCTTGAAGTTAATCACACCTGGGATCTGACTTCATTACCTCCTGGTAAGCATCCTATTGGCTCTAAATGGGTGTATCGTGTCAAATACCATCCTGATGGAACTTTGGATAAGTACAAGGCACGACTAATTGCAAAAGGATACACTCAAGTTGCTGGTGAAGATTACTTTGAGTCCTTCTCATCAGTTGCAAAGCTTGTTACTGTAAGGGTGCTTCTAGCATTGGCAGCAGCAAAGTAGTGGCATATACATCAACTTGATGTAAACAATGCCTTTCTGCATAGTTATTTACAAGAAGATGTCTACATGTAGGTATCACCTGGATATACCAAAGCTTCTTCTGGTCAAGTATGCAAGCTCAAAAAATCCCTCTATGGCTTGAAGCAAGCTTCTAGGGAATGGAATCATGAGTTTACCAGGCATCTAACATGTTTTGGTTTCAATCACCTCATGATCATTGTCTTTTCACTAAGCAACATGGGGATGATTTCTTAGTTTTATTGGTATATGTTGATGATGTTCTTTTGACTGGTACTTCTGAGAATCTCATTGTGCAAACCCAGGACTTTCTGCATGAAGCCTTTACCATTAAAGATCTTGGCCAGGCTCATTACTTTCTTGGTATAGAGATTGCTCAATCATCTGGTGGTATAATGCTGAATCAAAGGAAGTATGTGCTTGATATACTTCAACAGGCAGGTTTTCTAGGCTGTAAATCTGTTAGCACTCCACTTCCAAAAGGGTTGAATCTTCATGATTAAAACAGTCCACTTTACTCAGATCCTGAGCTTTATAGAAGATTGATTGGTCGTTTGCTTTATTTGGGAGTCACCCATCCTGATATTACTCATGCTACTCAGCAATTGAGTCAGTTTATCCATAAACCAAATGATGTTCACTGGTTAGCAGCTACTCATGTGCTTAGATATTTGAAAGGATCTCCTTCACTTGGTTTGTTCTACTCTTCCAGCAACAGTCTTCATCTCTCAGCTTTTTCATATGCAGATTGGGCACAATGTCCAACCACTCATTTCTCTCTCAGTGGTTACTGCATTTTTCTTGGGAATACACTTGTCTCCTGGAAGACCAAAAAGCAGACAACAGTTTCTCGTTCATCTTGTGAAGCTGAGTATCACAGCATGGCTGCCAGCTGTTGTGAACTTCAGTGGATCAGTTACTTGCTCAAGGATCTTCAGGTTTCTCTTCACTTACCTATTCTTTTTGCCTATGATAATAAGAGTGCTCTGCACATCACACAGAATCCTACTTTTCATGAACGCACTAAGCACTTGGACATAGATTGCCACATTGTGCATAATCTTTACAAATCCAAGTTTATTCAGCCCTTTTATCTTCCTTCATCCTCACAACCTGCTAACTTGTTTACTAAAGCATTTCGCACTCCGCACTTCAATTATTTGTTATCCAAGCTTGGCCTTGGTGATCTCCATCATCCCCAGCCAAAGCTTGAGGGAGGGGGGGGAGATATATGAATTAAAGAACCAGATGCATGAACTTAATGATGAAGACCATGATCCAGGAGATCTTGATCAGAAGGATTGTAGTGTAAATATTTGAATGGTTAGGGACTCGATTGATTCATCTTGTAATTAGTAGAACTACAATGTAAAATATGCTGACATGGCTGCTAGTTGCTGATTGGGTGAACTAGATTTGGTAGTTATTAGTTTTAGCAATTAGTATAAATATGACACAGACACGTTTAATAGATTTTGTACAGTTTACTTTTATCAATACAGAATATACAAAATTTTCCCAAATCTCTTCTTAACCTCGTTCTTATCAATGGCCGAAAGTCTAGCCGGAATTTCTCAGTCTTGGTATGAGATATTAAACCATCGTCAATTAAGAGATAAATATCTTGATATGTCCTTCGCTTGGTACATGATGCTGCTAATTCAACCCATGTCTAAAAATTTCTTCAAAACGCATGAAACCATTCACAAACACATCCATTGTCTAGTCCTTAACATCTTCCTACGTAAATCAATCAAACCAAAATGAGCATTCAAGCTTGTGGCGCTGGCAGAAAGCAGATGATACATATAGAAAATATAGCCACCAGTTTCTCAACAAGACAAATTGGTGCAAACAAGACAATTACAGAAAGCTCATCCGGATGTGCCAGAATTCAGATAAAAAACAATGCATGTGTAAGAATGTAAAGTATGAGAAGTGCCAAACCGGGCAACAAGTAACACTAGATGAGTCAGCACATTTCTTTGAGTTCTATCTTTTAGCATGACCCAAAAAGGCAGTTTATCCTATGGTTTTTGTAAATAGAAAGAAAGCAAAGGAGAAGGCAAAGCTTCATGCATTTTAAAGGATGAATCAAATGACTTAAAGTTCCAGCAAAGAAAGTTTCATCATTACAGCCAAAATAGAACTTATAAACTAAATCCATGTTTGAACCGCAGCAGAAGCTCAGGAAATATATGCTGTCTGGAGACACAGATTTAATAATCTAACAACTCTGCAGACCAATTAACAAAGTTTTAACTCAATTTTTTTTTAATAAATGCATGCAATGAAAGGGTTAAAGCATTCAAAAATACCCAGCCTAAATGTTCTCCGGTTCTAATACGTGCATTTGGATGGGCCAGTTTTGACTCGAATGTTATTATTCTTGGTCTAATTTCTCGAATTTCTTCCCACTCCTCACGATCAGGCATCCTAACTGTCCCTTGACCAGGTGGTGCATTCTTTATCTTGCTCTGTATCATTTCTCGAGACCTGGAATCATCAAGGTGCCAGTACATGTGGCTTCAATATTTATCATTCATTACAAGTGCGTGACGAAGAAAACTAAAACCGACTACAAAAGAATCACTATTTTCGATGCAAATGGACAATGTATGAAGCAATCTTCAAAAACAGTGCAACTGAGTGTTCTGAGGTTGTAAAAGTCCACTCCAAATAAAAATGCAAAGTTAGAGTGGAAAAAGGATTCTCATTTGTAAACTTTATAAATCATTTATCAAACAACATACATATTCTTTTAAAGCTTCCAGAAAATACAGAGCTACATACCGCAACATGTTTCAAAACCTGGTGACCTAAAGCATATCAACAAATGCCAAAGAAGGGAAAACAAAAAACGGAAAGAAAAACAACGAAATGCTGAGGAAAAAGGTAACCACTAAAATGATCAAAACAATGAACGAAAAGAGAAAATTATGCATTAGATTCCCAAGTATGCCTCACATTACATACTTAGACAGACCAATTAATATTTTAACTCAGGCAAAATATATGAAATCTGTTTCTACCATAGTTTACCATCATGAGGATTTTGGCAAAAAGGGCCGTGCCAACCACAGTGAGTATCACAGGAATGGTGGCAGTATCAAGAAAGGATCTTGATTCCGGGACTTCAACATAAAACTGAATCTTTCTGGGGTCTCTTGTCTTCCTATTCTTCTCCATTGCAGCAACCCTTTTCTTCAAGCTATTAGTGGGATCATCACGTGACAAAGTCTGAACTTTTCTGCAAGTTTGGGCAAAAATTCTGCCAACTTTACTCATGTTGCCGTTCAAGACAAGTAGAGAAAACGGCTCAACTTGAACCTGATCAATACAGAAGATTCAAGGAAAGCAAATCACATTAACAACCATTCGCATTATAACTTGTAAAAGGGAAAAAAGAGGCTCCTCAGTGGACAAGACCAAGTTACTCATCAACACATTCAAACAGAAAAATTAAAGACAATCATAAGACATACTAGTGTAGATAGTAACATTCCACGATGTAACTATCATAAAAAGTTCTAACAGATCAGATCATATCATAAAATGATCAAGAACAAGACTTGTTGGACCCTAGGGAAAGAATTTGAGGAAACTGATAAAGCTAAAACTGAAGATGAATTCGTTTCAATTTCAAATATTATACTAGTATCAAGCACACTTTACATGCTACAAAACCATTATACACTGCTATCAAGCACACATTTTTCATTCATTTCAAATAAAAATAAAAATAAAAATAAAATACAAGAACATTCGCCTTTAGTAAACAACACATTCCAAATGGAAAATCAGAATTACAGTATCGGTAATGTCATACAAATTCTGAAATTTCATCAATATCGTCTAACACAGTGCCATTTAAAGAAACAAAAAGTATTGCAATAAGCATTCAAAGATGATAAGACTGATAATCACCTCGTCTCCGACGACGACTATAACAACGAACAAGCACCCGATCCTTCAGATTCCCCTCTTGTGAACCAATCCAAAATGTAGAAGTTGCCCGCATTTTAACCCCAGCACCATACTCAGCATGCTTTGAGTTTAGCACCGGAAAATGAAGACCGGGAAGGTGGGGAACTGGACGTTGACGACGGCAATCTCGGGCGGAAGCGGCGGTGAGAAAACTCCCAGCAATTTTTTGCGTTTTTCGAATTTACATCACTTCAAATTAATTTTTATTACTCCATTTATCCCAAAATTATTGTTCAATTTGACATTTCATTTTAGTAAAATTTGAACTAGAAATGAAATCCCAAATTAGACAATAATTATGGGACGGAGGGTTAAAATAAAAGAAATAGATAATAATGATAATGATTTTTTACTTATAAAACAAGGACAAGAAGAGATAATGATGTTTTAAAATTCTTTTTATAGTTTCTGACAACATTATTATTATTATATTAATTCCATCATTTTTATCAAAAAAATTTACTCTCTAATGTGTTTTCTTTTTAGGATTAGGAAGAATTTTTTAATTATGATTAAAAGGAATTAGAAAATTGTCGAGGGACTGATTCCTCAAAACAAAAGAAAAGGGGAAAAAAGAAAAAGAGAAAAACGAGAAAGAATAAAAAAGTTCACCGACTCAAGTCCTCAAGTCCACTCTATATATGCCTCTTTCCGTCCTCCATCGACCCAGAAGAATCTGATACCAAACCCTAGCTTCACCAGGAGTCTCGAAATCAGATCTGTTCCAACTCCGGTCAACGATTCCGAACACTACTCCGATTATGGGCTCCAAGAAATCTGATTTCGGTGATGGCGCTAGCCCCGGGTTTGAACTTCATCTTTCCTCTATTTAGGGTTTCCTTTTTTCATAATATTCGTTATTTCTGATTTATCTTTTCGTTGATTATGGAAATTTGTGGGTTTTAATTTGTTCATGGTTCTTATTTCGTTGCAGAAAAATCTTTATCGGGGGTCTTGCAAAGGATACTACGTTAGGTATTATTTAATTCTTTCGCGGCTGTACCTTCGCTAGAGATTTGCTTGTTTATTACCTTATGAACAGAAAATAATTTGTTTCTTGTGATGTTTGAGTCCTGTGGTTGAACAAGGGTGGTCATTGTTAATTCATGTATCAAGGTGCAATTTGGAGAGTAAACTGATAAAATTGATGACCTTTTTGTGTTTTTCTTGTTGCTGGATATTTATTTTTATTTCTTTCACATTAATTTGAGGTATTTGAAATTAATTTTTACTACTTTAGACCTGATTATGGGGAAAATTGGCCTGGGATGAGCTTTATGTGTTTTCTTTGTTTTTGGATGTCCGTATTTTCTTTTTTGATCATATGTAGTAGGTATTGCCCTTTTTGATGAGTTGGGGTGTTTTTCCAGATCAATTTGTGAAGTACTTCGGGAACTATGGAGAGATAACGGATTCAGTGATAATGAAGGACAGGCACACTGGGAGACCTCGTGGTTTTGGGTTTATTACATATGCCGACCCTTCTGTGGTTGACACGGTCATAGCTGAAACCCACATCATTAATGGGAAACAGGTGATGATATTTTAATGGAAGTGTGCTTCTCATATACATATATATATGTATATATATATATCTCTCTGTGTGTGTGTAGAAAGATAGAGTTCATGTGGAGCAATTATGTTGTTTACTCTGGGTTTCAACCTTTTTTGAATCATTTTGGTTTCTCTTTCCAGGTTGAAATCAAAAGAACTATTCCCAAAGGAGCCGCTGAGGCTAAAGATTTCAAGACAAAGAAGATTTTTGTTGGTGGAATTCCTACAGCTGTAACTGAAGGTATTATTTTCGACTTCAGCTTTTCGTGTTCTATGTTCACAGTAATGGTTAAATTTTTTTTCCAACGTTAACGTTTTTTTTAATGTTTGTAATTTGACCAAAAAAATAAAATAAAATTATTAGATGAGCTGAATGGCTTCTTCTCAAAGTTTGGGAAAGTGGTAGAGCATGAGATTATCAGAGATCATGTCACCAAACGTTCTAGAGGCTTTGGGTTCATTGTTTTTGATAACGAGCAAGTTGTCGACGACTTGCTGGCTGATGGAAATATGATTGACATGGCTGGTACCCAGGTTAGTTTTTCTGAAGTCTTGAATCTGACGAACAGTACCTGGGGAACATCGGTCTGTGAAGGATGAACTCGGCCAGTGATGACTGGTTCTAGTATTCTGTTATGGGTGTATCTTGAGAATGCAGCATTGCATAGTTGTTTTGGAAAATAGGCATTAGGATCTCATTGCTTTAGCTATTCTTTAGTACTAAGATTAAATTCTGCAGGTGAAATTCTAGGTTAACATGATTCTTTGTTGTAGGTTGAGATCAAGAAAGCCGAACCAAAGAAACCCTCAAACCCAGCACCCGGTCCTGCTTATGCTAGTGAATCTAGGGGTCGTGCATATGACTTTGGAGCATATCCTAATTCTTATAGCAATTTTAGCAATGGTGGTTTTGGCCCTTCTCCTTATAGGTCATTTGGAACTGGTGGTATTGGTGGTAGATTCAGTGATTATAATAGTGCCTATAATAACAGTGCTGGTGAGTTTGGTGGTCGCTATGGCGACTATGGAAGTGACTATGTTGGATATCGTGAACCTTCACTTGGCTATTCGAGTCGCTTTAGCTCTTATGGCAGTGGATTCAGTGGGGGGTATGGTAGTGGATTTGGGCCTTATGGCCGTGGAGGTGGTTACGGCAGTTATCCAGGGGGTGGTACAGGTGCTGGGTATGAATCTGGCCATGGTGCCAGTGGTTATAGTACAGGACCATATGGAAGTAGAGCAGGCTATAGTGGTGCACGTTATCATCCCTATTCAAGGTAGACTTCTTCCTAAGCACTTCCTGTAGGTGTTGCATTCCGGGTCCCTTGGTTGCATCGTCAGACTCAGGGTTGGTTAGATATTTCAAGCAGTAGCAAGGAGACTAGAAGAGCATCACCTGTGTTTAGGGAAACTGGATTTAGACGATTTGGATTTGTTATGTTGTCTTTTCTAGTTAAGACTTCTCTATGGAACTTGTGGTTTAGTTAGAAGCTCTTTCTATTTGTACTTTAAGGGATGTTGCTAGAAACTTTTTTGTCTCTGGGTGTTATGATAAATTAGATATTTATAGTAAATCACGTTAGAATTTCCCCCTGTAGAATGTTGCTTAGATTGGTCTAAAGATGATTTTGGGGCTAGTTTGTTGGCTTCGCAGCTGCTGAATTGCATGTTAGTGCACATGAGTGTTTGGCTGATATTCTAATCTCTAAGCTTTGTTTTGAGATTGCTTTATGTATGGTAACTGCCATCCTCGATTTTCTATTTTCTAATTTACTTTGGCATCAGTTGTGTGCTTTCACACTGGCACTTTTAACATTGAGAACTTGAATAGCTGCCCTTTACCTGTTTGGCTGAGATTTTAAGTAAGTGATCTCTTAACCTTTGTTTGAGATTGCTTACATAAGGGTAAATGCTGCAATCCATAATTTGATACGAGTCGTGCATACATAGCACATTTAATCTGCTGCCTTTAAATTTAGTGCTTAGTTATGATTTTTATTAGCATGTAAATGCATCCAAATAATTTGTTGGGTGCTATTATGTATAAGCTGTTTGTTATGGGACTATCACATCTTGGATTTCCTTGCGAGTTAACTTGCTATGTAGCAAGTGAAGTAAGTGCATATGTTTGGGGCTACTGCTGTTTTTTTGTATGCTCTTCAATTGCTATCATGTCTGCCAGCTGAGATTCAGATATCTGTAAGAATGATGCTGTTTTTGGGTATGCTCTTCAATTACTATCATGTCTGTCGCTGAGATTCTGATGTTTGTAAGAATGAGATTTTTACCAGGATTTATTTGTTGGGTCACTGCTGTTCTTGGGTATGATCTTCCATTACTTCTATGTTTTTTGCTGAAATTCAGATGTTCATACATATGGTTTTTTTTTTCCCTCCTAGATGTTTAAGTGGCAGGTATGTTAATTTTGGTTGCCCTTCTGTTTCAACCAACCATATTTGTAAAATTTCATGTGACACTCTGGGATTTTGTTCATTCATAAAGCTGATTATTGTACAATTTGGCTCACTTGATAAAATTTCAGATGTAATTTTCATATGATACATATTTGAGTTTCCCTTTTCAACCAACTTGATACAGGTAAATTGTAATTAGTTCTGGTGTAAGGAATGATAGAACTTGTGATACTTATTGTTAACACAATTGTAAGTGAGAACTATTCGAGAATCGCTTGCAAATCAATGCTGGAGGCTTATTCATAGACTAAATAAATTGAATTAATTTGATACTCCCTCTGTGCCCGAAGTAAAGATGGTGAAACGTCCCCATAGGGAAGTATACAATGTAATGGAAGGAGTGTTTTGAGTGGTGTCACCTTGGAGATTTATCTTGCAACAAGCAGCGAAGGCAACATTGAAAAATTTATTACAAGCTGGTGGGAATATTTTGTGAGTCGATAGGGCAACATTTGACCAATGAAGACAAGATTAAAAACCGGCAAGCGCGTCAATTGGAGCTTAAGTTTGGAGCTTTAGTTCTCCGTCTCGTTGATAGAATTTCTAGCCGTTTTGGTCATTTAGGTGTTCGTTATTTCATAATCCAGCTTGTACATCGAAACCTTGATCAGGCTATTACATGGATTTTTGCAATATGATATGGGAAGGGTCGTTTGGCTTTTCTAATCCAGCTTCTACAGTAGCTTTTTGTGCTCAAAACCTTTATCAAGCTATTAAAGTCTTGCTGATTATTGCAATATGATGTGCAAATTTGGGTGTTCATCCTTGATTCTTATATGGTGCATCATGGTTCACCATACTTAGTGCACGGGTTAATAAATGCAATACAATTCAGGAATAAGTAATTAATTAATTTCTCTCTTCATATTTAATTTTTCACATCAACTTTTCAAACAAACCAATATTCCACTAATTTTGAATTATCTCTTAATTTATACTCATACGTATCTCAATTTTATCAATTTACATTCATACGGACCTCAATTTTCACATATTCATGAATGATCATCATATTTTTCATGCAATGTCCATTATACTTTCATGTCATACATGTCCAAGTACTATGACATTAGTTAAAAATAAAATTGTTAATTATATATTCATATTCATATCATACAATCTTCATGAGAGATTATTCAAAAAAATTCAAACAAACATGAATAAATTAACGCGGGTCTTTTGCAGAATATCAAATGTCCATATTCATGTCATGGGAAATTCATTGATGAGAATTATGTTGTTCATTACATGTATATTTAAATTTCATTACTTTAGAAAAACATATTGATCACAAATAAATTTTTTACACTAATTAATGTCTATACGTATTAGACTATTCATGAAAATGATATGAAATGTTCAGACAAATTGTGAATTATCAATAAATCAATTTTGTTAGAATTATGAACTATACATGTTCATACTCATCTCATAGCATATTCATGAATGACAATCCTAAATAAAAATAAAATAAAATAAAAGAGTGAACAACATATGCATACTGAAATAAAGTATTTCATGAAAAATATGCAAATTTTCATACGAAATTAAGTTTTTTAAGAATTCATTTAGATCTATTGAGAAATTCATGATTTACAATATTTTTTTCTATGACATATATATCAAAGTTTCATGACCTATGATTAAATTTAAGTTGTTCATGGTTATTAGTTTAGTAGTTATGGTATTTTTGGAATATTAATTATCTTCAATTTGAAAATATGATAAGAGAAATAAATGTTGAGAAAGAATGGAACAATATAATAAAAGTTTTAATTAATTTACATTCCATATTTAAATCGTATTAATGAGGACAAGTGCACCAAAAATGATGAATATGGTTCACTATATAAATTGCCGTTTTTTCTTCTTTTTTTTTTCCCCTTTATTACAATGCGATGAAAAATAATAATAAATTAGGACATTAATTGTGTCAACTTGATATATGTAAATTAGTACTGTTGGGATTATAAAAATTATTATTAATTTATAAATGTGATAATTTGATAAATTAATAATTATTAATTTGTTGATAAATTAAAAAATTATTACATAATAAATCTTTGGAGACATTGTTGTTATTCTTATTCAAAATTTACTTAGAATGAAAATTATGGTGATTTAGTGTCTCAATAACCAATTATGAAGAAAAAAGCACTTAATGCGTTAATGACTCTTCTAAATATTTTCAAACATATTTGATTGTCCTTTATATGTGCTAAATTTTATGAATTTTACCTTAATGTGTGATTTTCACGTGGGATGACTATTGTTATTCCTTTTATAGTTTTTTTGTGCTAATTATTGCTACTAACCATCACTTCAAAAGTTAATTCTTTAACACAGTTGTGACACTTTCATTTAAACTTCCGCCAGTTGCATCCCATTGTCTTCTCTTCATAGTGCAATAAAACATTTCAAACTAGAGGTTTTTTTACTTAAATTATTTCGGCGATGCTCTTTCATTTCTTCCAGACCACGGTGTCTCCCGTACATTACATCCATATATTGTTTTCAGTTTCCAACAATTTTCTCGAGTTCGCCGACTTTTATTGTTGTGCTTGCTGAAAGTTTGCGACATACCACTATCGGTAATAGTTCACAATGTATGATTTTTTGTCATAAACACTTGAGTAAGTGTACATGTGTGTTTTGACATTTCAAATTGGCAAATCAATTTGGTGTTTCTAAATCTATTTGAAGCATAAAATTTGTTTAATTAGTCTTCAAGACATCTATTATCTCCGGCTATTATTAATTAGTTTTCCTTAATTTCTCATGAAACTTTCTTTGAACTTGCAGATGCTCTTTCTTCTGTTGTATATACTGAAATTTATTCAAAATGCAAGTCAATATGATAAGGATAGTGAACTGTTCTTTTTTTTTTTAATGTAAATTTAAAATACTCTCTTTAAATTAGGGAACCCTCTTTATGGAGAAAATATGTTGTGTGCCTGAAGAGAATTATTAAGATAATGTCCATTTTTCTAATCTTTGTATTTTATTATTTTTAGCTCAGTATATGGTGTCAAAATTGATGATTGAGATTTGGAATTCTATAATAACATGCAGTGGAAGCATTTTTCCTGGCTAGGTTAACAATAAGCACTTGGCAAAATAATCCGCCAACAGACCGAAGCATGCACCTTTCAACAGACCGAAGTTTTGTTTGCTAACTACACATATTGGATGTCCGCAGTTTGTGATGACATTGCTGCATTACAAGTCGCATCATGCAGGGAGAACAAACAAAAAGTCTTCGCTAGGTATATACTGCAAGAGACAGGCTCAAGCGAAATTAAGGTGGTATTGCAAGAGGTGTGCTAACAACGAACACCAAAACTCTACAACACTTAGAGACGGTCATACATATATTCAAAATCATGATCCTTGTTCATATCAACCTCATAATCGAGCTCATCCAACAAACTAAGCAAAACGTTTAAAATCTTTTAGCATTCCCTCAATCAGAACTCTATGCATTCATTTATTATTATGTAAATATTTGTTTGTATTACAAGTACAACGAATACTAATTAATATTTCATTTTTTTCAATAATACATATAAATCAGATTATATTATTACCAATTATAAAAAAAAATCATAAAGCATAATTTGATACTCAAAACATATATATTCACTGTAAGCTCATCCATGTACGCGCGAAAGCACGTTTAGGCCTCCTAATTTTATTATAATATGAGAAATTTACTAGTTTTGAAAGCAGTAGGAAAAAAATCAAAAATAAAATCTCTCTAGATGTAAATTGCAATAAAAAAAACATATATTACTGGTTCTATAATTCTATATATATTTTACTAATTCCTATTTCATATATATATATATATATATATCTTACAAGTCATTATTAATTTATGATATTGATGGGACCTTTATTTATATAAGAGTTTTCTGAAAAATTATTATTTAATTATTTGATCGTTTTTTTTTTTTGTACTGATTTCGACTTGAGGCTAAAGAAATTATTAATTTATATATGTTCTACTGTACATACAAAAGATGTTTTCAAGGTATGAATTTATATAAATTTATGCAGTATTTTTAGTCTTACAAGTTTCTTTTTACAGGTTTTTACTTTTGTTACATGAGTAAGTAAAGATGTATGATGAAACAAAGTATCTAACTTAAGCTAATGTACTGAAGATTCAATTTGACAATTGACAAAAGCTAACTCCTTTTTTACTAAGAATTTATTCGTTGGTGAAGTGAAAAAGTGACACATTAATTAAGTAAAACATACTCAATATAGCTCCAACCAAGTTGAGTTCAGAGGGTCAGTTGTACGCAGTCTTTATAAGTACACAAAGGGACTATTTCCTTTGCGAGTTAAAGTACACTACGTCGTTTAATATATTTACTGGATGCTTGGCCCGGGTAGATACCTGGGGGTCCGTGTTTTAAATTCGTTAATTATCTATAAATATAATAATATTAATAAAAATAATATTGGAATAAATTCTATGTGATCAAGATAAATTATAGTAGACTTTTATGCAACTCATAAATATCTTGTTAAAAAAATATAATTGTCCAATTTGACCTATAATTGTATTTAATAAAAAATAAAATTGCCCGAACAGCCTCTCGTGTTTTAAATTTGATAATTTCATTAGAATAAAATTAATGTGATTAAAATAAATTACATTGGAATTACATTAGGTTTTAATACGATTCATTATTTTATGTCCCTGTTAAACAAAATGATTGAAATAAAAATGTAATTGTCTGATTTGATACCTAAAATGTAAAATGTTATGTCCCGGGCGTCCGGAAAACTCTGCTCAACAAATTGATACAGAATTTTAAAAATATACTGTTACATAAAAAAAGAAACAAAAAAAAAAACTTTCATCATGATAAATAAAGATAATAAAAAAGATAAATATAGTTGTGTTTTGAGAGCTATAAAATTAGTTTCGTTCATATGTACATTGTAGTTTCTCAAGAGGGAGATTGAAAGTACATGAAAAAATGACATAATTTAATAGTTTACCCACGAGAATCTGTTTAGGAAGAACCACACAAAAGGTTGGGAAACATCACATTCCAATGACCCAAAAGGACACTGAATTCTTGCTCGCAAACTGGCACAGATTAGACTGCTCAGTTCACTTTCCAGAACTATGCATTCTCGGCTATTTTTCTTCTGGAACTGTAATAAGACTTTCTAAAAAATTCGCAAACTTCACGCATGAATACGAAAAAATTTGAAATACAATTAAGTGTTTCACAATATATCGATACTAATAAAAGTAAAGAAAGTTGATCAAAAACCTTGAAAAGCAATGTCAGTTTGTGACTTGCCAGATCAATGTGTGCAATAATGTGATAATTAGCAACACCAATAATTTTACCAGAAAGAAGCTCATTTTGGAGTCTTCTATTGCTGATGCAGTCAGCTAACAAAAGTGAGTTGCAAACAATGTAAAAGCCTTATAGGTTATTAAAAATGAATAAACTTGTTAGACCAACACAAAGTCGGGAAAGCCTTATATAAACTGGAACATATGAGGTGCTCATAATTTACCTATTTTTAATATCCCTTTATGTGAAATTTTACCAATATTTTGAGTACAAATGTGCTATTTATGTGATTTTATATTTGATTGTAGGAATTGTACTCAATTGGAGGAATTGTTGAAATTTTAGGTTAAAATGAAGATAAAAGCAACTCAAAGGAAGAAATTGAAGTACTTGAAAAATTGGAATATTAAACAAGCAATTTTGAAATTTTTGTTTTTGGAAGTTGGCCGAACAACGATGATGGTGCGGTTGATTTGGGATTGGAA